CAGCCTGTAATCCCGTGCCTTTGGGAGGCTGAGGTGAGTGGATTGCCTGAGCCCGCAAGTTCGAGACCTGCCTGGGCAGCGAGACCTCATCTCTACAATAAATCAAAAAATCAGCCGGGCGTGGTAGCGCACTCCTGTAATTCTGGCTACTTGGAAGGCTGAGATGGAAGGATCGCCAGTGCCCAGCAGGTCGAGGCTGCGGTGGCCGGGAGCGGCCACTGCACTCCAGTCTGGGTGACAGAGTGAGACTCCAACTCAAAAACAAAAAACAAAACAAAACAAAAAACCAAAAAAAACCCCAAAAAACAAAGTTCAACATTTTGATAAATTAAGTTTTGTTTATTCCAACCTGATATTTACTAAATGAGCCCTAATGTGCTAAATTCTTTAACTATATTAAAATACACTAAGTATTTTGTTTTTTAAATTTTTTAAATTTTTTATTATAATGATGTGGGATACAATTCAGGGTTAGGTACACAAACGTTGATTATGCAGGCACGCTTGTTGATGAAGTATGTCCCTCCCCTAGCAGTATTTTAACATTTACTGTTAGTTGATAACTTTGATTTTCACAGGTGACAATAAAGATTAGTCTGGTAATGTTTAACAACTTAGAGTTTTGACACATGTACATTATTATCATGTGACAAATATAACCTGTCCTGGCAAAAGATAGAGAAAGCAAGTGTCTGGATTATTTGTTTGGGAAAGATATCTGCATTTTTAGAAAAGAGTCATTTTACAGTGGATTCCATGAAAGCTACTATCTTATAGAACGTTTTGTTTTGGGTCCATATGATAAAATATTTGCTAAGAAATAGCTTTGGAAAACTTTCAGGCAAATGTATTTGGCCACATATTTGCAAAGCTAGAAGAAACAAATAATTTTAGTCCATATGTTGCCATAGGACATGTTTCCTTTCATTTTCCCTACTGTTTTTACATAGATCTTTTAAAATTTAGGGAATTAAAATTCACTGAGTATAGGGAAGTTCTAAATAGTCCATGCGGCCTCATCTGCTGTCCTATAAAGGGCTCTGTTTTTTCCTTCTTTCCTTTTCTCCTTTCCTTCATTTCTTCTTCCCTTCTTCCTTTCCTCCTTCCCTTCCTTCCTTCTTTCCTTCTCTCTCTCTGGAAAAATCATCTGCACACATATGTATATATCATGGAAAACTAAATATACACATTTAGCACAGAAAATATATACAATGAGAAATTAAGAAATACCTTGCGAGCATTTCTCAAACTTTTTATCTCTGAACCCCTGACAGCTTAAACATTATTGAAGATCCTGAGGAGTACTTGTGTACGTGAGTCACAGCTACCAATGTTTATACTATTAGAAATTAAAATGAAGAAAAATTTTAAAACATGAGAAGGTACAGCACATATTCTAGTATCTGTCAATGCTGTGAGGTTATCACATCTTATGGGGTCTGGAAAACTCCACTGTGAGAGAGAGAGAGAGAGAGAGAGAGAGAGAGAGAGAGAGAGAGTGTGTGTGTGTGTGTGTGTGTGTGTGTGTGTGAGAGAGAGAGAGAGAGAGAGAGAGAGAGAGAGAGAGGTGGACTAGGGAAGGTATATAAGAGCTATCACAAAATCCTGCTCAAAGAGGGATGCTTTATGAGGGTTATAAGAATCTAGGCAGATTGAGGACAAGGAGAGGAAGAAAGTCTTTATTTGTACTGTATATACAAGATTATGATCAGAAAATAAAAACATTTATTTAATGCACTGATAAACATGACAGTCTTGGCTATAAAATAACTAACCTTGTATTCGTAAGTTTTGTATATGTTTGTTGATATTATATTTTTTTATATACACCCCTAGGTGGTTTTTGAAGGAAGTTCATGTGCATTGCAGAACTTTATCAAGAAACAAAAGAAATTAAGGAAATATGGTGATATGAATGCCTCCCCTTTGCATCATGCTGCAGGAGAAGGTCAAGTTGAGCTGATGCAGATGATTCTTAATGAGTCCTCTTGTGAAGGTAAAAAGTGTCATGAGTGTTCCATAAATCCTTCCTCCCATTAGATTCATTGGGATGGGTGGTATGAAGTAATTCTGAAGGGTAGATTAGTGTCAATTATAAAGGGACTGAATATCTCACTCAGAAGTGTGGGTTTCCCTACAGACCAGTGCTCTTCAAAACTTTCCACTGAAATACTGCAAAGATAATGCAGTGATTTTTAGACACTTTCTTTTAATTTTTAGATGAACTGTAAAAATTCATATACATTTTATGTACTCTTCTGTAGTATTCTGTGACGATTGTTCTACATGTATATTATATTCATTGAATAAAATGGACACCTCAAGAAGATGTAGCATTCCCCTCCCCACGGCCTTATCCACCTAGCCTTGTTTAATTAAGAATTTCAGCTGCAGGCAACGATGGTGGTGGATGCCGCAGAGATGTAAGCAGTAAAGTGGTGTGATAAGACCTTTATTATCTAAGATCATTCTCCCATAGTATGGAAGATGGATCAGAAGTAAAATCTCAGTTTACAAAGATATTTTAGTAGTAAAGAGAGGATGAGAGTCCACCAGAGTTATGAGGCTAAACTGAAGAGAAAGGGAAAGATTGAAGAGATATTTTCATGCAGCGTCGACGGTGCTTGATAAAAGAATGAATGTGGGGAAAAAAAGTGACAGAGAGTTGGAACTGACTTTGAAATTTTTAATTTAGGAGATTAGGCTAGTAATATAACCATCCCCACAAAAGAGACATGTAAGAAAACAGAAGAAAGGTGAGTATGAGAGTATGAGGAGATTTAGTCATACTGAGTTTGGGAGTCCCAGAGGAAATTTACTTGGAAATATCCAGTAGGAAACTAGAAATGTAGAAGGAAAAGAGGAATGGCCTCAAAATGGCCATTATTGCATGAGAAGTAGATGAAACTGTGGAAATACATAAAAATTCTGTAGGAAACCACAAATTTGCTAATAAAGGTAGCTAAGAGTAGAGTACCAACATTAATAAACAGATGGCAGAGTGCAAAACCCGAAAAAGGGTGAAGAGAGTGATGGATAAGAGACAGATGGTACACAAACTGAGGGAGATATTACTGGTATGGAAGAGTTAGAAGGAGCAATTGCCATAAGGAGATCAAATAGGAAGGAGATCATAATAAAGCTCCTACATTAAAAGGCCCTGGTGACCTTTGTAAAAATGATTTGTAAAAAGTGGTAAAGAAAAAAGCTTAATTCAAGTTATTTAATTAGTGAATGGAATTTTAAAATATAGAACCTTGTTTAAGTTAGCTTGGTGCCAAATGGAAAGGTGAATGGAATAATTCCTCTTGATCAGACAGAATGGTCAAGAAATGTACATAAGGAAGTGTGTGACTCTCAGGGTACATGAGTGTGTGTTTGCATGTTGTTGAGAATGAGGCGCTTGGCTGGATAAAAGGAGGTATTGGAAAGATGAGTTTTAAAAAGAAGAGAAATAGAAAAAGTGTGGCTCCATGGTTACAGGTATCATGGATGGTCCCCAGATCATATTTATGGACTAATGTTTTCTCCCTCCCCAGACATGAAGAGCTACTTCCACTAATTTAAATGGCTGGTAAAGAAGATAGCCATGTCTATTCTAGAATAACTATACAACACTGCAGGTTGGGAGGATATATTATTCTTATGCTGAGCTTACAGGGTAAAGAGTGCCATATATTGAATTTTAGAAATACATGGAAACCATGTGTGACATCAGGGTTTGTTAGTGGTGTGTATTTTTTCTTTTTAACATTTTTTGGAATCATTGCTACAGGCCAGGAACTCTGCTAAGATCTTTAAAGACATGCTTTGTGTATGGGTGTGTAGGTGTATGTATATATATATGTATGTATATAAACATATATGTATATGTACATATATGTGTGTGTATATATATAATATACATTTTTTTACCACTTTGAATATGAGAAAGCTAAGGTTCAAAGATGTAAGGTAGTTTCCACATCTCCTTACTAGCTGTGTGATGTTGGCAAGACTTTTAACCTCTCTAAACCTTAGCATCTTCATCTTTCTGAAAACTGGTTACAGTATTACCTTGCGGGCTGTTAAAGCCTGAATGAAATCATGGTTGTGTAAACCTAGTAGAATGCCTGACATATAGTTCTTGCTTTTATGTAATCTCAATGTTTTATCACAGTCCTCAAATTCAGCTAAAATCATGTAGCAATAGGAGGGTTTATTTCTTGTGAAACGGCTGATAGAAATTTAACTCAATTGACAAAGTCAGTGCCATGCTTTTTTTATATTCCAGAGAGGTGCTTATTAGATGTTTCATGAGAAATGAAGCTACATTTTTAGTTTTCATAAAGAAGACACAACTGGTTACGGTCACACTTGGCATTGAATTTTGAAGTGAATAAGCACTCAGGAGGTGTTGAATACAGTCCAAGCAAAATTTAATCCATATTTTTGGTGTCTTTTTCTAGCGTTGAATGTGATGGATGATTGTGGAAATACCCCTCTGCACTGGGCTGCAGAAAAAAACCAGGTTGAAAGTGTTAAGTTTCTTCTCAGTAGAGGAGCTAACCCAAACCTCCAAAACAGCAACATGATGGCACCCCTGCACATAGCCGTGCAGGGAATGCACAACAATGTGATGAAGGTAAGTCTGCTGGCTGGCTCGCTCAGCCCTGACCTGCAGAATAAGGACTGGCATCCAGATCCGGCTGTCTCTGTGTGGGCCAAGAGGGACACCCTAAGCTTCCAGGGCAAACAAAATGTAATGATTACAATGTTTGCTTTACTTCTCACTAATGATGATGGTAATGATGATGATGATGATGGTGATGATGATGATGATGATGATGATAGGCCTACCTTTATTGAACAGTTCTTGTTTATCAAACATTTTTCTAAGAGTGAGTGTGTTTTAGTATATTACATCCTCATTTTATAAAACCCACTATGAGACCGGATGGGGTGGCTCACACCTGTAATCCCAGCGCTTTGAGAAGGTGAGGCAGGAGGATTGCTTGAGCCCAGGAGTTTGAGTTCAGCCTAGGCAATATAGTGAGACCTCAACTCTACAAAAAAATTAAAAAAAATTAGTCGGATGTGGTGGCACACACTGGTAGTTCTAGCTACTCGAGAGAGAGGGAAGGATCACCTGAGCCCAGAGGGTCAAGGTTGCTGTGAATTGTGATCATGCCTCTGCACTCCAGCCTGGACAACAGAGTAAGACCCTGACTCAAAACGAAAATTTAAGAAATAAATAAATAAATAACTATGAAGACTGTTACTAGCTCCATTTCGTGGCTTAGTATACTGAGGCACAGAGTTGAATAACTTGCCTAATGTCACATAACTGGTGAAAGCAAGACTTAGATATTTTGTTCTCATTTTTGTGTTTCCAAATTCAGGCTTTACTGCTTTTACTCAACTGACATAATGACTAAAAGGAAGAAGTTAATGAGTGTCTTAATAAAAACAGAAAACATAATTATGATTCGTTGTTTTGGCTAAAGTGGGTGGCCCATGTCGGGGAAATTAGTTAGCAGGAGACATAACAATACTATTGGGAAATTTCTCATTGTTTTTCAATGTTTGAGATTAAGTTTCATCAAATAGAAGAATCCCTGGTAATGCCTAAAATGTAAGATTTAGGCCATGGCTTTTAAACTACATCTCAGAGTTCCACAGAATATAAACATGCTTCCCTAAAGAAGAATGCAGTTTACAAATGAATCATGACTCAGAAGTCCATTTCTAAGGTAGACTATTTGGAGCTTATAATAAGTTTTCCTGTAGAAACAATACTGCAAATGATGACTTGGCTATTGTGGTAAGCCACAACAATAGCTAATTGTCTAAAATCACCAAAGAGATCCATGCATCTCAAGATCCCTTTAGCACAGAAACCCTTTTCCCAGTCCTCTGAGACCTTGGCTCCTTTGTGTCTGACAGAGAAGACCTAAGGGTAGCTCCTTACTGCTTCACTACTGCACCTTGTATATGGTTGTATATGGCTATATCACAATTCTGAGCACATGATATTGGAATAAAATGTTCACTGTGCTTTTTCTTCCTCACTGGCTAATAAGCTTTGAAGGAAGGGCTGTGTCTTACTAATCTAAATATCTCCAGTCCTCAGTTAGCACTCTGCTGAGATGACTGTTGAATAAATGAATGGATGAATGATCAAATAAGTGGGATTCTGACTGACTGAGAATGGAAGAGCTGAAATATGAGTACCTATGAAGAGAAGTCAGGACAGGCTCCTGAGGAGGTTACTAGAAAGACCTCTGGAAACAGTTTTTTCGGTCTTCATTATTCATGAGGCACATGCTTCCATATCATTTGGGCTGGACCATCAGTAACTGCGGGAACTCTCCCAGAGATGTCACATATTTCCTCAAGAAGTTATTATGCTTCTTCTGAAGGCTCTTTTCAGAAACATGTGCTCATTAATTTAATTAATACTGCCTCTGAAAGTGTGATTTGGGAATTCGAAAGCAGGTAACAGGTGAAAGGCCATTGTTAATTAGAAAGCAGAAATCTTCAGACCAACAAATACAGAAAAGTAGGCATCATGTAAAAACAGAAAAGAAAGTTTAGCAGCAAACTCATAGCTGATTTATAAATTAGATGATGAACATAAGACAAATTTTCCCTAGTGACACCAGAAAAAGAGGATTACAAGCGTTACAAGAATTGTAACTGAAATTGACTCTCCCTTTCTTACCAGCCAAAACTACGTTTTAAAACACAGTATTTTCAAACCACTCTAGTTTATCAGAGATTATGAGAATAGAAAAAGGAGGAGTGTTTTGAAGTGCTCCCTTTGTGCTTGCAAACAGCTGTCCTCTCCACCTGCCTCTCTCTCGATTCTGCCCACAGTCAAGTCTGCACCTAATCAGTCCTTGCCAGTTTGGCAGCCTGCTCCATTGACTGCTCCACCAACCCTTTTCCATACCTTCCCCTGCTACCTGGAAGGCTGTAAAGTAAAATTTTTCATTCAGGCATCATCTCAAGTTATTGCACAGACAGCCTATGGTGTGCATAGTATTCCCTGGGACGACTGTCCTGGGGAGTAGGCAGTGGCCTGCTTCTCAATGGCCTTCAGGCCTTAGTCCTGTGGGCTTAAATTCAGAGTATCCAGCTGTTTGACTCCATTATGGCTTCCTGGGCTCTCATCAAAAGGGCCTCTGAAGGATTGGCTAACCTCTGAAACTTCCATACTTGCCTGGACATGACTGAATTTAAAGTAGGTGCACTGTTTAGTTGCTCTCTCTGGGTTTTCTGTCACATATAATTTAACACAGCTTTTTGAAAGATTGTGTTTATGGTAGTACAATAACAACAACCTAATAAATGCTACAAGTCTAGAATGATCTAGCATTCTAAGAAGACAAAGAAAGAAAAATCTTTTTCTATAGGTTATTTTGCATGTGAATCTAGGGCTTCTTAAGAACAGTATTTGGAGGGGCCCAAAGTCCACATAAGGAATCTTGTGTTCTCATTTCCCTTAATCCATCAATACTTTCCCTACATGTTCTTATGCACTAAAATCTCAGTTTAATTTTTTTTTTCATGAGCAGAGCTAATTAGCAAGCCTAATTTATTTGCTGACATTCACACGGGTCATATTCTGTTAACAAAAAACTCTGTACTGTTTAAAAGAAGTCAAGGTTTTTAAAAAAAACAGCTTTTTTAGTAAATTCTTTCTAAAAATTTAATAATAAGCACATGCCATAGTTTTATCACAGTCTTGCTGCATTAGGAAAGGCCTTTAGTAGATCAATTCAAGAGTTCTCTCTTGATAAGACTTTTATACGAAAAAATTTTGTTATATTAAATATAAAATAAAGTCTGGTTAAAGATCTATAGACTCTTGGGCAATTATCAGCTGGCAGTCAACTAGGTGAGGAGGTAACAGGTCTTCAATAAAATTCCATTTAAAAAACTACTTGACCATTTTATCTGGATGCTAATTTCTTACACTGTAGAAAAAGTTTCTGTTCCAAGATTTGTACTGCTTTTTTGTGAGCTGCTTTCCTTAACAAATAAATGCCTCCAAAAAGGAGAAGGGGTACATTTTAGATTAAGAGACTCAAAGCACATGTGAACCGAATACGATGTGTGGATCTTGTTTTTTCCCATTAAAAAAAAAAAAAGGAAAAGGTAACTTTTGAAACAATTGAAAAATTAAAACATTGTTGGAATATTAGGGAGAAAAAAGATTTTGTTTCAGACCAAGTTTGAATTAAGTTGAACTTTATCAAAGTGTTACACAAAACTATTTTCTTTACTAAAGGGAATGGAGTTTCCATTGACATTTCCCAGAATGCTTGCAATTAACGACTAACCCGACTGTTTTTTCTTTTCATTGCCAACTTCCTAGCTTTTAATGTGATTTACTCTCCAACCTGACTCTGGAAGATAAAGCAGGAAAAATAAAAATATTGTATGACCCTGTAAAGCTGTTTTGGGGGGACTCTGGCATCTTTTAAAAGAATTAATCTGTTCAGGTTGAAGTCTACCACCACTACCCTTAAAACTTCATCTACATATCAAAAAACTGCTCCCTTATCTTCCTCAAGTTGCCCATTTCCTTTACTTTCAAGTTTCCTTTGATGACTATTCTAACTAGTTATCAGTCCGAAAAATCTTTGAATGACCCCCACTTGGAAATATCCTACTTCCCAGTATAAATTCACATGTATTGATTTATGTTTTCTTGTAACTTCTGTCCTCCAAGTTACTATTCAACCACAGTGGGTGCACATTCTCAGGACCTGCTGGAGACATGGGCCATGGGTTTAGGTCCTCAAGCCGGCCAGAATAAATCATCCTAACATATTTTATAATTAGGCATCTTTCCATCAGCACAATCCAGGTAAAAGAAAGATGACTAGAAAGAAAAGAGAAACCATTTTCTTTTTTCTCCCTCCCATCTTCCCTCCCTCCTTCTTTTTCCATTCTCTCTTTCATTCTCCCTTCTTTTCTTTCTCTTGTCCTCTTCTTCCAAGAACACATTCTAAATGACTCCACAAATTTATTTTCCTGAAAATATTAGTTAATATAACTTCACTTAATACAAGTCAAAAGTATTAAGTAAAGCTTTGTTAACTAGTGTCTACAATTCCTAGTCTATTTATAATTCCATAATTCAGTATTGCCTTAGTTGATGTGATCTTGAAATCATCATTAGTTCTTGTATTTGAGAAATTGTTTTGGTACCCACTATGTACAAAATCTTGTACCAGATGGTGTGAGAGAAGAAAGAGAAAAGAAATAATGAATGTGGTAACTGACATTCAAGAATTTATAATCTAGTTGAAGATAGGTACCTTACTTGGAAATTTGCAATTTAGCATTTTGACATTTATTCTTTTGTGTAGGTCTTGACTGAGCACAGCAGTACTAATATTAATTTGGAGGGAGAAAATGGCAACACAGCTGTGATGATTGCATGCACCAAAGATAATAATGAAGCACTTCAGATTTTGGTTTGTATATTAATAATATTCTTCTACTTTATCTTTTCATGAGTACAACATGAATTATTATTTGCAACAGTTCTTAAGTTTCTCTCCTTAGAAAAATATAGAAATTGGTTCAGGGAAAACTAGATATGTTTAAATATATACACACCCTTTAAGTGGATCTGAGATTCCTCATAGAAAATTAATAGGAAAGCATTTAAAAAATGCAAGAAAATCAAAGTGAAAAGAAAATGTAGGCAGGAAGAATTGAGGTGAAACTTGGGGTCAGGCTAGAATATCAAATACACAGTATAATGGCCTATATGTTAATAAAGATGGGTCATACATTAAGTTTGCTCTTCTGAATAGCCACAAAAGAAAAGAAAAGAAAAAGACAAATGTAGTCAATTGCAGACTTTTGGGACTCATAAAATAATAAAATAAAAGCCAACAGAAACACAGCCACTCTTGCTCCAAAGACCAGAATAAATTACTACCATGGATTCTCAGAAAGGGAGTCCTGAGTGATTTAATGGCTGAGGTTCTTTGCCACATGCTTGAGAAAAGAACCAGCCTTCTCCCTGGTGCAGCTTTTTGGGGTGGTCCAGTAAGATGCTGGAGATGTCTGTCTAAATGGCTTACTCTTGCTCCTGGCAGTGCCCCTTCTGAGTGTGCTATTAGAATCCTAGTAAATAGCTTTCTTTCAAAGATTTCTTAATCTTAAGCTGTTATGATTGAACTCAAAAGAGAATAAATAATAGAGTAAGAATAAATGAACTAACATTCAAACCGATCACTTGTATACCTAATCCTGAATTGTACTCTACATTTTTAAAATAAAAAAATAAAAATAAACAAACACAAAAAGAACAATAAAGAAGTATAACATTTATTAATCCCAAAGAGTGAAAATTTACTAAAATTTATTATTGCATGTGGATAATCAATGCTCAGGAGAAGCTATTTGTGTTTTTCACTTAAAAAAAAAATCAGAATAATTTGAGCAAAATTGAACGGTATTGGCTAAAGATGCACCTTTAATATTTTGTACTGATTTATTTATTATAGTTAATAGAAGAAAAAAATAAAACTCCACATGATCCACCCATTAAAAAAAAGAAAAAAGAGCCTTAAATTAACCAAAAGAAAATTGGAATAAATAAATAGTAAAGTTGAAACACTATGGCAAATAATATATTTTTAAAGTCTTATTTCTTTGCATATTTAATTTTTATGAGTGAGTACACTGTATGATCATATTGTCCAAAAAAGCTGTTACTTAGCAATAGTCTTTAACAATACCTAAATATGATTTTAATAATGCCTAATATAATTTTATAGAGTACATATTCCATTTCTGGACTATGTATACCATATGTGTATGTGTGAGTGTGTGTGTGTGTGTGTGTGTGTATTTGTGTGTATACAATATAAACTGATGCTGTCTAAGCTGAGATTATAGGAGATATTTCATACTTTTCTGCTTTTTCAAAACTTTTTCTTTTTTAATAATCAAAGATACTTAAAACTGAAGTCTAATGATTTATAGAAGATGATAGTTACAAATCATTGGCTCACATAAACCTTTTATTGTAGAAAAGAGACTTAAATGGTGAAAATTCTTGGTTTTCGTGGTTTATCAAGAATGCTGATACATTCATTTATTAGTTTTACATAAATCAAAGGAACAGTAACTGGGAAATACTATTACTTTACGTGCATAAGGAATTGAGAATGGTATAGAAATCATGATAATGTCTTTAAAAGTCTTATTAATCCTATTGAAAATAATGTGTTGACTTTAGTTTGCTGGGGTATTAAGATTAATGTTTTTTGTGTCTATATTGTTACTTCTTTGGAAGCTATAAAATGCCTCTGCTTCAGATCTTAGCCTAGTTCAAAATTACTTTCTTGCATCTATTTCATAACATAGGAAACTTCCTATGTATTTTTACATAGACATACAATAGTAAAATAGTATAGGAGAGACAATAAATTCTTGTCCACTCACATGATTTGGGGCTTAACTTGCATCATTTAACTTTTCTTTTTGTTCTTTCTTTTCCTCCAGTTTAATAAAGGTGCTAAGCCATGTATATCAAATAAATGGGGATGTTTTCCTGTTCACCAGGCTGCATTTTCAGGTGCCAAAAAATGTATGGAAATAATATTGAAGTTTGGTGAGTATGGGTTTTCCTATGTTGTATACTGTAAAGAAGGCTACTTGTGGGTGCTATTCATTTGAAAAATGCTTAGTAGAATTTATGCATGGGCTTTTAGATAAGTCTAAATATGCTATCTTTTTAAAAAGCCTATTTTTTAATTTTAAATATTTGTTATCTTGATTGGTATTTTCTTCTAAAGGTGAAGAACATGGGTACAGCAGAGAGTCTCATATTAACTTTGTGAACAATGGGAAAGCCAGCCCTCTCCACATGGCTGTGCAAAGTGGAGACTTGGAAATGATCAAAATGTGCCTGGACAATGGTGCACACATAGACCTGATGGAGGTAATTGTTCATATTCTATATGGCACTTTTAATTTAGAATTGTCGTAAGTTATTTTCTAAAGTGTTTTATAGTTCTTACACAGTTATTTTAGATTTAAAAAATACCAGAAATAGGTAGTATGCCCTTCTTTCATGCAGAAGCAGAACAAGAGAGTACCCTAAATTTAAATTTATGTAAGGAATTCTGAGCACTCCCCCAAAAATTGCAGACATCGAGATACAATAAAGAATATATTTAATTTAACCGACATTAAATAAGTTAAGACTTACCCTAAGAAGATGATAATGTCCAGCCAGGAACATTACAACCCAGTCATGAATGTCTTTGGTTATAATTCTATTCTGAATGTTATCATCTTTTAAGATGAGGGCTACTTAACTTAATTTCTAGGGATATGTATGTGAAGTGTTGACTTCGCGTGCATTCTGAGGTATACCAGGCATCTTGACCAAAATATAGAGTTTTGGCCCTTTTCCCTTCAGTGTCCTTGGTTTTGGATGACAACATGCCTTCTTCCCAGCTATGGCAAAGACCTGTGCTTTCTAGAAGGAGAGGAGATTGGTTATTAATCCCATGTGAATTCTAGACACCGTCACTAACTCCCTCTGATATAGAAATGAAGAGTTACCACTGTTGGTGTAGGGTCTGGAGTCATTTTAATTCATTAATTAATTAGTTAATTAATTATTTTTATTTTGAGTTGATATATCACTCTGGTGCCCAGGCTGGAGTACAGTGGTATGACCATGGCTCAACCGCCTGGGCTCAGGCAATCCTTCTGCCTCAGCCTTCCGAGTAGCCATGCCCAGCTTATTTTTTTTTATTTTTGGAGAGATAGAGTCCCACTATGTTGCCTAGGCTGGTCTTGAACTCCTGAGCTTGTGGCATCCTCCATCCTTGGCCTCCCAAATTGCTGGGGTCACAGGCATGAGCCACTGCGCCTAGCCAGGAATCACTTTATACACTGAATGTATGTACAGTGAATGTGACACAGTTTTACATTTCTGGGGGGAAAGAATGGCATCCAAATAATGATGAAGAACTGTCAGACTGCAAGAAAACACAACTGCTAGCTCTGACTTTTATACAGATGCTTTTTAATAGGTGAAACTGATTACTATTCATTATCTGAAATGTGATAGATATTCCTTCATTTTATTGACCAGGGAAGAAAAAACTCACAGATAGATATAAGTGATATTCTTAAATTTGGATTTAAACATTGATTCTGGTATTAAAACTCTTTACAGACTGGGAGGTGCACAGCCCTTCATTTTGCTGCCACCCAGGGAGCCACTGAGATTGTTAAACTGATGATATCGTCCTATTCTGGAGGCACTGATATTGTTAATGCAGTTGATGGACATCATGAGACCCTGCTTCACAGGCAAGTTTCCTACCTATCATTCTGCATACAGATTTTTAATTCACATATTAGATTATACTCTGCAAGAAAAAGCTAACAGTTATGCCAACAGAGAAAACAGCAGAAGGTAACAAAGACCCTGTGGTTCAACTAGAAACTCTTGTGTTCCTTGAGAATCCAAGTAGAATACTAATAAATTTCATGAAATAAAATCTCCAATGGTATATTCTAGATCAATTCTCAGTCTAGTGGTTATAGGCTCAAGATTGATTTTCAGTATGCTTAGAAAGTTCACATACAAGGCTTTCTAGGCCCCTTCTAATGTGTTCCAATTCCTCACGTGTATCTTAATCCCATTTTTTATGATAATAATGGAGCAAATACATATTGATATTCCACCTTTCCCATCCTAATTCCTCCCGCTTTGCCCACAGTCATAGATAAATGGTTTCAAAACATATTTTTATGTTTTAGGAAGTTATAACCAAGTCACCAAAAATGATAAAAATTTCTGTAGAGTTTAACAGAAACACACATCAGGGAAAGTATCTGAAACTGAGACTTTACAGCTAGGACAGGAAACAGGCAGTGTAGAATGGGAGTTCAATCCCTTTGGGAAGACAAGTACTAAATGCTCCTCATGTGAGTGAAAGAGGTGGCTAAAAAGAGCTCTCGCTCTCTCTCTCTCTCCCCCCATGTATCCTTTACACACACACACACACACACACACACACACACACACACACACACACACACACACGCCCACACTCATATACACACAAACAAACATACTCAGAGCTGTGAGAAGGCTGGAAGTGTGAAATGGCAGAAAAAAATCTTAGATACTTTCAATAGACAACTGGACCAGGAAATCTACACTATCTCTCAAGGAAAAAGAAACTCTAGATACCAATATAGGATCTGTTTCTTAACTGGGAGGTGGAGATGAATATATACAGCATAGAAACCACCTGCCACAGTAGAATATATATGAATAGAAAGGAACTCCCACCTAGGATGAGTTTGCAAAGGAAAATTTCATAGCATAAAGGAAAACCAATAAAAGACAACAAAGTCAACAAAAGGCTCTTTTATTTCCAAGGAAATAGAAATGGCAGGACAATCTGAAAAGAATTTTGAAATAAAGATATTTGAGACCTTCAACATTTTAAAGAAAGGAATAATTAGTTATGCAAATATAAATATATGAGGATAACAGTTGATTATGAAAAACAAATAGGCATATATGAAACCAGTATTGGTGATACAAAAAAATGCAGTTAGAAATCTTTTAAAAATTAAAAAATTAGTCATTGAAATAAATCCAAATCTCAGTAGATAGACTAGCCTCTAAGCTAGAGATTTTCAAGCTGCTGCCTATTAGAATTATGTGGGGAGCTTTTAAAATCCAAATGCCAATTAATTCCTCACATTATATCACAATATCTGGGATAAGTTTAAGGAATTTTAAAAACTTTTTGATTCCAAAGAGTTGGGTAAACTCTTTGTTTAACCAATTTGGAAACCCAATTATTTGGTTGTTGTTAATATGTATCTTCAGAACACAGCCTTAATATATAAATATGCATAAGACTAAATTATGTGAAGAAAATTAAATCTTTTTTTTTTTTTTGAGTTGGAGTCTCACTCTGTCACCCAGACTGGAGTGCAGTGGCTGCTCCCGGCCACCGCAGCCTCGACCTGCTGGGCACTGGTGATCCTTCCGCCTCAGCCTTCCAAGTAGCCGGAATTACAGGCATGCACTACTACACCCAGCTGATTTTTTGATTTATTGTAGAGATGAGGTCTCGCTGCCCAGGCGGGTCTCGAACCCGTGGGCTCAGGCAATCCACTCACCTCAGCCTCCCAAAGGCGTGGGATTACAGGCTGAGCCACCGAGCCCGGCTGAAAATTGAATCTTAAAGTTATGTTTTGCTTCCTAAAATTACCAAATATAATAAATCTATGTTAAATATAATGCATTCTCTTGTGAGTTTTCAGTAAAAATTAGCAAGCTGATTTTGAAATTTATATACAAGGGTCCAAGAAGAGCTCAGATAATCTTGAAACAAAAAAATGAGATTTACAATAAGAAGCATAAAATTTTAAATCATTAGTGTTAACATTTGTTATGGTGGTGCTTTAATATAGACTGACCACCTTTATTTGCTTTATTAACTAACATTATCCTTATGACTGACTGTGAGATGATGCCAAAATGACTTCAGTTATCTCCATAATTATTTTGGCTTCATAAAAACTTAGCAAAGCTAATACTGTCTTGCTAACTTTTGTCAAAGATGAGCTTCCTGCCCCCACCAAAGGGGGAGCTTTTTGAATCCTACGGGTGAATTTTAAGTGCAACTTGTATGCAACTGATTGTTGTTGGTTCCTATAATTACGGTGATACTGACCATTTCTTTTGTCTTTTATATCCTGGGACAGATATCATTACTCATTTCAGTACATCTTTATGATGATTTTACAGGAGAAAAATAGGTTTACCAAAAGTTAAAGGAGAAAATCTTGTGATGTGTTTGGTTTTGTCCTATTACTATTACTTTGAAAATACTACCCTTATCAGAATCAGTTATGGATTTTGAGTTACTAATTCTCTAACATTTTATCATATTATTCAATGACTAGTTAAATTCATTTTCTGAATATAGCAGCTTTATTATATGTATTATTTTATATATGCTTATATCAATAGTACTTTAATCATAATGTTTATAATTCTCTTTTGCAGAACCTCATTATTTGATCACCATGAACTAGCAGACTATTTAATTTCAGTGGTAATTATTCTATTTACTGGTTTGCTTTTTAATATTTACTGATTTATTTTACTATTCATAGCTGAAAAACCACGGAATTACATAATATGGGTTTTCTAAAATAAGTCAAAGTTTGATTTCTTGCTTATCAGAAAAAAAAAGTTTACAAAAGGATAATTTGCCGCTTTTGCAAATGTAGTATTGTTTATGAATATGTAATGACCAAACTTTATTACTAAGCAGTTTGGGTGACAAAGTATACTTTTGGATACCCATAACAGTGTTTGTAGAGTGGGGAGTTTGCACTACATTGCCAGGAAAGCTCTTCCAATGGCCTGTGAGTGAGTATTGGGGAAGTTTGGGCTTGGACAGGTCCACTACCTTTCCTCAGATCTGGTGGCTTTGAGTTGGAAGCAGGACAGGCAGCATGTGGTGTAAGCTTCTACTCCAACTGCCTCAGTGCCATCTTTCAAACAACTAAAAACCAAGGAGTTGGAAAATATTGTCAAAGATTTGTTACAAGTGAAAGCACGAGATCCTTTTCACTCTAAGACATGGCATCAGTCAGCTTTAGAGATAAATTTTAATAAGCTCTTTATTCGGATGCTTGGATAGTGGGTTTATTGAAGCCCCACCATATCAGCAATGAATGTAGTTCCATTTGTATTACTGAACGTGTGTGTGTTGTCAATAGAAACTATTGAAACTGCGATACTTTCATAGAAGAATCCTGGAAAGACTCATTATATACCATAGTTTATGTCATGCATGGCTTCCTGCAAAAGCAACCATCTCTTCACCTGGCAAGAGAACTGTGGCAGAATCTCACTGGCCACCATGGAGCTTGCAGAGGGGATGCTGCTGTCATCCTTTTAACTCAACGAGCCCTAAAAGAACAGGGCAATATCCACAATTGGAATTTAAGTTATTTTTATTACTCTGCCTAAAATACAGAATTCTTTCCATGAAATGTTAAAAGTTCTTTGATTTCTTGCCATAGCAAATATTATAACCATAATGCATAATGGTAAATATTGACTTATTCATTTTTAAATATATATAATGTGAATATTAAATATAAATTTTCTCAAATGTTTGACTAAAGTTTTACTTTAGAATTTGAGTGATTTCAAATCAATAATTTCAGTTCATCTATTACAGATAAAGTAGATTTTTTAAAAAAATGAATGGTTTCTTTTGAATGTTTTAAAAATCACATATGGAAAAAATTTGGAAGACTTTTAAAATTATGAATATTTAAAAGTAATTTCTTACAGTGGGAACTAAATTATTGATCTATGGCAAAGGATATTATTTTTTTAGTTTCAGTAGAAATAGAGCTATTGCCAGATGTCGGTAAAAAGCATGAAATGAGAATAATTTTATTTTTGAAATTATAAAAAACCTTTATTTTTGATAATACAACATATGAATTATAGAGACATTTCAAGTAATTCAGTAATTAGTCAAATGCTTTAGTTCTAGTCATAGTATAGATAGTATTTCAATGAATTAACATTATTTAGAGATTATAAAGTAAGCTGATTTATCTGTTAACTCTTTCAATGAATTTACATTATTTAGGTATTACAATGTAAGCTGGTTTTTCTGTTTGTAAACTCTTTGTTGAATGACTTGTTTTATTTTAGGGAGCAGATATCAATAGCATCGATTCTGAAGGACGTTCTCCGCTTTTACTAGCAACTGCTTCTGCATCTTGGAATATAGTAAATTTGCTACTCTCTAAAGGTACCAAGAGAGATCAAGTCAATTTCGTCAGAAAAACATTTGTCAAACATCTATTATGCTAATAGATGGTGCTGTGGATACAAAGATAAGCAGAATACTTTCCATGTCTAGAATAATTTTCAGTCCAGTAAGAGAGCAATATTTAAAAAGATAATTTCAGAACAAGAATAGATAACATTCATAAAGCAATTGTTATACCTCAGGCATTTTGCTGAATATTTCATCAACTTTCAATGAATCAGTCCTATGTGATATAGGCACTGTAACTATCCTCATTTGAGATACTAACCTAGGCTTATGATAACAAAGAGGCAAGCTAACCTTCCCGTCTATACTCTTTTTTCTTGATCTCTAATCTCTCCATGTTTATATTTTATACTTTAAAAGGTAAGCTGTCATATATTAATGTAATACATTGTATATTTTCCACCCAACTTATACACATGCACACACACACACGTAAACCTATCTTAAAATATGTTTAGTTTCTTCATCCAAATAAAGTTTTCTAAAAATTAAATATTGGAAAAATTTTAAGTCAAAAATTTTCTGTTGAGTTTAAAATGTACCATTTAACATGTTCTAAATAAATGAGTAGAATTTATATTTATATTGTGCTTTTTTAGGTGCCCGAGTAGACATAAAAGATCATTTTGGACGTAACTTTTTGCATTTGACTGTACAGCAACCTTATGGATTAAGAAATTTATGTCCTGAGTTTATGCAGGTAATATATATCTATAGGTTTCCATAAAATGAATTGTGTTTAACAGGGAATAAACTGATTTTACTTATTATAATTTTTATAACTATGGGAGCTATTTCTAGAATTTTGAAAAATGTTTTACAATAAAGATGACATGTGAACAGTTACAATATGGTAGTGGTGATGATGATGGCTATAAGGGTAATTAATTACATTGAGATTGAGTTTCCTAAGTTAAGAGGATTTCTATATACCATCACCTGTAATGAGAATATATCTTAATTAGTTTGATTACCTTCACTCTTGACCATTGTGACTTGCATATCAGTGGAAAAGCCAAGTAGGTAAGTGAATTAGCAACACTCCACTGTCAATTAAGAAAAACTAATCGGCATACTTGACTTGTTGATGACAGGGTGAAAGCATTATTTTCATATTTATATTCACTAGCTAATATTTATTGAGTGTCTATCAGGTACACGTGAAGCGCACCACATTTTTATAGTAAATAGATTTTAATATGTCACTGTCTTTCATAAAGAATCAAAAATATGTGTTTGAATATTTTAAAGAAAAATAGCAAAATGTTTGTTAATTGATTGGATAAAGTTCCTCATTTGTCATTCTTTTTAAATTTAATATACATATTAAAGATAAAGTAAATCTAATTTCAACATCCCATTCATTTTTCCAGGCAGAACATATTAACGTTAAGCTCTTAGTTGTGATTTGGGCGGGAAGTGAGAGATGGGGCCGAGGGAAGGCTCATGGTGAAATATGTTTGGAAAATGCTGGGCTAAAAATGTTAAGTACATTTTCCTTCTTCCAGGATCTCTCAGGGGCTTTAATATGGTAATATGCATTATAGTGAGATAGCACATTCAAATTCACCCATAGAACTCTTTAGGTTATGTACAGTTTTGCCCCAAAGACTACATATTGATCCCTGTTGGAAAACAGTCCTACAGAATAGTTTGAAAAACATATTAGCATAATAGCAAAGTTATTAATATTCAACATATGTGAATATTAATTGAATATTAATTTTTCCCATAGATGCAACATATTAAAGAGCTGGTAATGGATGAAGACAATGATGGGTGTACTCCTCTACATTATGCATGTCGACAGGGGGTCCCTGTTTCTGTAAATAACTTACTGGGCTTTAATGTGTCCATTCATTCCAAAAGCAAAGATAAGAAATCACCCCTGCATTTTGCAGCCAGGTAAGGGTCAACTTATGCAACATATGAACAAGTCTTCTTTCTATTTAATATTTGCTTTGAAAATATGAAACCTAATTTTTTCCAAGTTATGGACGTATCAATACCTGTCAGAGACTCCTACAAGACATAAGTGATACTAGGCTTTTGAATGAAGGTGACCTTCTTGGAATGACTCCTCTTCACCTGGCAGCAAAAAATGGACATGATAAAGTAGTTCAACTTCTTCTGAAAAGAGGTGCATTATTTCTCAGGTGAGGATATACGATTAGAATGTTTATATAGTCTGTTTAATTAGCCATTTTCAGGCTGTCTTTCCGTTAAATTTTAAATTATGATCTCTATATCTAAGTACTTTTATCCATATTATTTATTCTTCAAGACAAACATAACTTCTCCAATATTAAAATGAAAGTCAATATTGTTTTCAGTTGACAAATGAAGACATTGAAGTTTATACAGTTGAGGAACCTTGTTCAAGGTCACAGAATTAGTGACTTTGTGCAGAGATTTCTCAGAACCTTTGAAATATGGTTCTTCATATTCTACATCATCATGCTGCCATCTTTCTATGTAGATGCAAAATTATGGTTTTGTATGTGTGCACACACACAATCACACAAGTTCAAAAACCCTACTTTGTATTCAATCTGATGAATGATGAACATAAAAAGCCCCCTTTAAGCAAGAAAGGAGACATTAAAAATTCCTGAACTTTATTACGTTTAGGGAGCCTCTAACATACAGAAAAACACATTAAAATATGTAGGCATATTAAAATATGTGGTATAATTAAATGACCTTGTTGGAAAAAGAAAAAGAATAAGAAAACCTGGAAACATTTTATAGCAGAACAATGAACTGTCTACTAATTTCATTGAGGTAGTGGCTGGCAAAGAGCTCAATAGACTGATGCTCAAAACTACATTTCTGTACTGATCTGTACTGATGTTAGGGATATAGCAGCAAAATTAATATGTTGCTCAGTTTCTTCCTGCTTGCAAGGGAACTCCTACAAAGGGAACCCAAGTGGATCCAGGCCAGACAGGTGTTGCTTCATTACATTACAATGAAATAGCAAGATGGCTCTTGCCCCCAAGACATCTGTTCACCAGTACTGAATTTAAATTGTGTCAGAATTGTTTTTCTATGTGGACTTTGTAAAAGTATTGACCTCATTGTATTTACATCCTAAATTTCTGTGAAAAAGAATAAACATTTTTGAAAGTTTATCTTAAAGATATCTTTAAGAGCAGAGGAAGGACTTTTTTTGGAGCTGGACTCTTAAAAGAATAAGTGACACTGAGCTAAATGTCTTGTATCATGTACTATATTATTATTATTAGCAATAACTATTGACCATGAAGACTAATACCACCACCAAAACAAATGTTCAATGAGAGAACGGAACAAGATTTAAAATGGTGTGTATAGGTATAGTACAGCTTTGAAACAAATACATCTGACACAGACATGCTAAGTCTACTTGCGCCCACCTCCAAATATTTTGTAATTTTTTTACACTTTTATATTTTAATGTATTAAATAAAACTTATGTGTAAATAACATTATGGAAAGATCATATAACACCATTGAGCATGAAATTAATTTATTATAAGTATATAATATCTAGTTGTCAGATTTCAATTATGCTTTTTGTTGTCATCAGACTTACTTAGAATGAACCAAGTGGCATGTCCTCCCTCATTTCATCTGTTAAGTATATGCACATGTCTTTTCTTAATTCTTTGCCAGTGACCACAATGGCTGGACGGCTTTGCATCATGCATCCATGGGCGGGTACACTCAGACCATGAAAGTCATTCTTGATACTAATTTGAAGTGCACAGATCGACTAGATGAAGAAGGGGTATGTACTGTGGTTCTTATACTTAGACAAGATCTCAAAATAGCAGACACTTCCAAATTCAGGAAGGTCTTCTTTTAGCCATCCTCTTCCTTTCATTGCTCTATTCCCAGTCTTTTGTTGAATGTTTAACAAAAAAGACTTTTTGAGTGAGGCATAAGTAAAAGGGGAACAGAAATAGGAGACAACAAGTGCTGGGGTGAAAGTTGAGGACACCCTCCAAGTCTCACAAATGGCATTCCACAGGCTATTGCAGTTTGATGTGTATTGTTTAGCAGTGTATTGATTTGAAGGCCATTTATTGTGCTATTATGTTCTCCCTCCTTTTTTGGAGAATAAGTATTGAAATACTCATTTGTTTATGAAATGAGGAATATAGAATATTGTTGTTGCTTTTAAAAAAGTCTTTAAGTAACATAACTAAAAATTGGCAACTTTATTATGTCTCTAATTTTTTGTTAAAAACTTGTGAAACCCAGAATCTGCACACCACTGCTCTATTAGATGATAAATCTCCCAGGAATATTATTTTCTGCGTTCAATCCAACATCTTTACCCAGAGGGCTTGTCCTTGGTCCTTGGAACATTATCACATTGCAAAAGCAATGCAACACAAACCCCTTGGAATTTGCATACATAAAGATCCACCCCACACCCCCAGCACATTCACCATGTTTGAACTCATTATTGTGAAGCTCAATTCTGAGCACCAGTTTTACATTTTTATGTATTTTGATAATAAATAGTCTCACTGATAATTTTTTAAAGCAGTTCAACAATGAAAGAAGATAGTAAAATGGTCAAAGGCCGATTAGCCATTGTCATTGCATTTTCTGTGTCTGCTTTCCTTAAAAGAACACAGCACTTCACTTTGCTGCAAGGGAGGGCCATGCCAAAGCCGTTGCGCTTCTTCTGAGCCATGATGCTGACATAGTTCTGAACAAGCAGCAGGCCTCTTTTCTGCACCTTGCCCTTCACAATAAGAGGAAGGATGTGGTTCTTACAGCCATCAGGAGCCAAAGGTACAGTGTCTTCGTGTCCACTACCATTTAGTGTCCTCTGATGTCAGGGATGATCTATAGCCTGAGAGGAAACAAGAAAGAGAAAAGAAATAAATTTCAGCCATTAATCAACATATTATATATTTATTCTCTCTCTCTTTTCTCTCTCTCGCTCTCTCTCTTTCTTCCTCCCTTGCTCTTGGTCTGTTGCCCAGGCTGGCAGTGGTATGAACTTGACTTACTGAAGCCTAAACTTCCTGAACTCAAGGGATCCCCCTGAGTAGCTAGGACTATAGGCATGCACCACCATATCCCATCATTTTTTTTGTGTGTTTTTTTAAAGATTTTTTAGAGACGGGGGTCTCATTACGTTTCCCAGGCTGGTCTTGAATTTTTGGCCTCAAGCCATCCTCCTGCCTCATTCTCTCAAAGTGCTGGGCTTATAGGTGTGAGCCATCATGCTTCGTCTAATCAACATTTTATACTGATAATTATTTGCATAAATTTTTTAGTGAACTTTGTTGGGTGACAACAGGCACATTGCTCAACCTCTGATCTTTAGCTTACATTTCTAAAAAAATAAAATATGGGTGTATAAGACCAACCTTAGTGGCACTCTTATAAGACTTGGGGCTTTCAGTCATGTGTAGCATCTGGCACCATGTCATCATCACACAGACTCTGCACTGCCCTACCTGAACTTGCTTGACACTCTTACCAACAGAAACCCTAAAACTGGATGCTGGCAAAAATATCAGTGTCACCTAATGGTATATCTCTTAGTACATGATCTTTTGTGGTTGTGTTTCCAAGCCATACTCCAATGAGTGTTAATAATGAAGCTATAGGATCGTTTGTCTCACTTCTCATACATAAACTTTTCTACACAATTATGGATAGATATGCACAAGAGCTTGGTGTCACCCAGGGGTAGACATAGAGATGAACAATCTCATATTTAAGGCAGATCAAGTCTGTGTTTTTGAGCATGGGCAATCTCAAGAATCTTCTGTTGATCATTCCTTTGAAGCACCAGTTAATGAAACTGCAACCAGAAGTTTCCTGTTGATGATGCAGATATACTAGGTGGATTTTACTGGTAGAATTAACAAAATATGGCAGTGTCTTGGAGATAAATAGACTGTTCTTTGCTTCCTGCTGTAGATTTAGCTCCTCCTTAGTATGGTAAGCACCTTCCTGTTTCATCCAATTGGGTGGTGGTGAAGAGAGGGACATACTCTGTAACGTTCTGCCAGAGGCTATGCTTATCGATGAACTTTTCACATGTTAGTTTGTAGTTTAACTCAATACAGGATATATATATGAATATATATATTAACTATTCAATATGGGTCTAGTGTTATGTTGTTGATGTAGGTATGTGAATATGGATATATTTACTTACCATTTTATGACTTCAGGAGAAAAAAAGATATGCCTAGCTTCTTTGGAAGGCATTTAGAGAAAGGCAGAGCAATGATTATAGCAGCCATCCTGGAATTTTCCAACATTCCTAATTTTTATTAGTGGACAAGAATCCTATTAATAGATTTATATTTGTTCATATATTAGTTCCACTGGAGCCAGGGATGACCATTGCATTTTGATTTCTCCTAAATTTTGATGTCTCTTATAGATATAATCTTGAGTTTCAACTGTTGTGAAAAACAGAAGGATTAAGACTTGTGTTTGTCTTATTTATTTTTCTACAGGTGGGATGACTGTCTTAAGGTTTTTAGTCACTGTTCTCCAAGCAATAAATGTCCAATTATGGAAATGGTAGAATACCTCCCTGAATGCATGAAAGTAAGCTCTTCAAAACAAAACTCTTGCTGGGTATATGCTTGGCAAATGATATGATGTGAGGATTTACAGTAATAATTATAACCTAATAGTAATTTCTGTCTTTAAAGAAAATAAAGCTTCTAGTTTTCCATAGGTTGTAAGTTAACCAACAATTATTTAATAAGTACCTACTTAAATAATTTTATTAGGTATTATATGTAATTCGGGAAAATATTGTAGACATTTATTTTATTCAAGCACTCTAAGTCAAGAGCAAAGACTACAAACTGGTGTTTGCTGACTGAATTAAGCCTCTAGATATGTTTGCTTGGCATGCATGTTATTGTTTCAAATTTGTACTGGTTGCTAACATTTAAAATCAGGATGGTTTCCTTAAGGATCCAGATATCTGACCTCTTATAAAAATGAGAAGCTGTGGTATCTGGGCTTGCCTTCTCACAAGGCAGGAATTGCTGGACCAAGTAGCCTCTGCTACCCACAAATGGAGCAAATACTCTCGATTGACCCGCCCCACCTCTCTTGTGTACTCAGTTCCAATGCCTAGTGTTATTTGTCCCATATTGTCATTCGTATGCAGTTGTTTTTCTTATAGTGGAGAGATATTTTGTGATATATGGCTCTATCCAAATTGTGAAGATAAATGCCAGCCCAAGGAGAGCGAATGTTTCAAGAACAATGGGAAAAAGCTCTTATGCCTGGCATGCTTCATTCATTTATATTACTTGCCTGGCCTTTGTGGGCCTTTGAACATGTGACTCTCTTTGCTACATTAAATATGCACACAGCATATGACTGGATGCCTACCACAGGACAAACATGCACAAACTGTTGAGCACATGAGTGTTAAAGGATGCAAATGAAAGACATTCTTGAATGCATGAAAGAAAGCCCTCTAAAACAAAATTCTTTCTGGGTATATGCTTGGCAAATGATATGATGTGAGGGTTTACAGTGATAATTATAACCTAATAGTAATTTCCATCTTTAAGGAAAATAAAAAAGTTGAGAAAACTGGAAAAGTTGGGATTTGAGAATTAAGACAGACAGAATAATCAAGAAGAGCAGAATGACTTCAAATGTCATTCAAAGAGAAAAGTATATTTAAGTACTGTAGGAGGCAGTAAAATAAAATGACACAGGGGATAGAGAACCAGATTTGGAGCCTGGAGGTCCCGGATGTCATTCTGACTCTGCCTCTTGCTGTGCTGCTTCAGGCAAGTCATTTCACCTTGTTACGTAGTTATTTGTGGCATTTTCTACTTGTTGGTGCTCAAAAGATTTTGGATTTCAGAGTATTTTGAATTTCATATTTTTCTGATTAGGGATGTTCAGCCAGCCTTGGAAACTCAGTAAGACATCAAATCATAGGTAACTAGTGAAATATCCCTTGCCCAAATGTTAGTAAACGCAGTTTCATTCTTGAGCACATGGGATTTTTCTGAATCACCTGGAATTTCTGAGGCATGCAGAGGTATTTATAACACATTGTATATTAAACTTTGTTTCTGAATGATACAGATTGCAATTTCTTCTTGAGGTACAAGAAGTAAAGGAAGAGAAGGGGAATACCTTGTGTGTTATTTTAGAGATGGATAAAATCCTTTCTCATATGAAGTGTGCTGCCCTGATACCTTAGCTGGGGTTTTTTTTTCCCTCTCTCAAAGGTACTTTTAGATTTCTGTATGATACCTTCCACAGAGGACAAGTCCTGCCGAGACTACCATGTAAGTTTATTTTATCATAATAACTTGAAATTTATTTTGTTATAATTCCTGGAGAAATATTACAAATTAAAATTGCTACTATAGCTCTACAATCTATTATAGATAGTAAGTTTGGTTCCACTTGTTATATTAATGTATTATCTACTTGTGAGAGAATTTTCCCTTACATCCTCAGATTTCCTCTAATATTTTAATTATTTCTAATAGCATCATTAAGTATTATTTCTACTCTTTATGTTTTCTTGGGTGTTTTGCCTAAATAATGAAGAGCTCAAAGATCTAAATAATCTTTTGAGAATTTCTTCCCCCCCCATGTCTTTGAATAAAGCAATTGAATACCGGCCTTCTAAAATATTTATGTTTGTAATTAATATGCAATAATTTATGTTTCCTCTACTTGAAGTGACTCAACTTTGTTCAGTCACTAAATTATCAGAAGAATTATAAGTTTCTGTATTTACTTGTTAAGAACTTATTTTAGCATCTATACTTGAATAACTGTAATTTAAAAAATGTATATCTTCTACAGATCGAGTATAATTTCAAATATCTTCAATGTCCATTAGAATTCACCAAACAAGCAGCACCTACCCAGGATGTTGTATATGAACCTCTTTTAGCCCTCAATGTAAGTTCAGTGCTTTCATTATCCAGGAGTTTCTACCCGGGTTCTAAACTGCTTTGACATAGTAATTCCACATTTGACAGAAATGGAAGGGGCCTGGAGAGAATTCCAGTTTTATAGTTCTATGTCTATGATCATTATGTGACCCAATCTGTTGTTTTTTAATAAAGAAAGTAATCATTTTTTTTCAGTTACTAGAATTTAAAGTTTAACACTTCAGTCTTAATGGTCATGTAAGAACTGCCAATTTAGAATCAAATAAACCATCAGAATATTTGTTTCTATACTATTCCTTTCATCTAAAGTGAGTCTTTTTTAGACAGCATATAGTTGGATTCTGTGTTTTTTTAAAAAATAAATTCAGCCAATCCTTTTATTTTAATAGAAGAGCTTAACCAATTTACTTTTAAAGTAATTACTGACAGGGAAGGATTTACTATTGCCATTTTTATTAACTGTTATCACTGTGTAGTAATTTTTTATTTGTTTTCTATCTTTATGTCTTCTTTTGTGTTTCATTGATTTGTGTGTGTGTGTGTGTGTGTGTGTGTGTGTGTGTGTGTGTGTGTGTGATGTATTGATTCCCTTCTCACTTCCTTTTGTGAATATTTTATAGATATTTTATTTATGGTTACCACATAAAGTATCTTAAAGCTATAATAATCTATTTTAAACTGATACCAATTTACTTCAATTGTCTATAAAAACTCTACTCCTTTACAACACTTCCTCCACCCCCACTTCTTTTTTTTTATTAAATATATTTTTTACTTTAAAATTGTGGGGTACAGTTAAGGTTTAGGTATACAAATATGCATAGTTCAGGCACCCTTGTTGATAAGGGGTGTCCCCCAGTCCCCAGACAGATATTGACTACAGTTAATCCCACCACCCTTGCCCTCCCTGCCCCCCCCATAGATTCCCACCACTGTCAATCCTTTTCTTATAGTATTATGATAGATATTCAAGGTCCACTTATGAGTGAAAACATGTGATACTCAGATCTTTGTTGCTGTGAAAGATCGCTCAATATTATAGACTCTAGTTCCATCCAGGTTGCTGCAAAATTCGTGATTTTGTTCTTTTTTTATAGCTGTGTAGTATTCCATCGCGTATATGTACCACATTTTTTCAATCCAGTCCTCTTTTGATAGACAGCATAGTTGGTTCCAGGTTCTTGCTATTGTGAACAGTGCTGTGATAAACATTCGTGTGCAGGTATCATTTTCATAGAATGATTTGAGTTCTTCAGGGTATATTCTCAGTAGGGGGATTGTGGGGTCATAAGGGAGGTCGATATTTAGAGCTTTTAGGAATCGCCACACTGTTTTCCACAGAGGTTGCACTAGTTTGCACTCCCACCAACAGTGTATAAGTGTTCCCTTATCACCACACCCTCTCCAGCAACTCATCTTCGACAAAGCCACCACCACCCCCACTGGGGAGAGGAGAACCTATTCAGTAAATGGTGCTGGGAAAACTGGCTGACCACATGCAGAAGATTGAAACAGGACCTTTATCTATCCCCATACACAAAAATTAACTCCAAATGGATCAGAGACCTAAGTGTAAAACCTCAAACCGTAAGAACCTTAGAAAATGAAGGACACACCTTTATGGCAATTGGAACGGGCATTCAATTCCTGAACAAAACCCGAAATACACAAGCCACAAGAGATAAGATAGACAAGTGGGACCTCATTAAACTCACAAGCTTCTGCAAAGCCAAAGAAACCATCAAGAGAGCATGGAGACAGCCCACAGACTGGGAAAAAGTATTTGCTACCTCGTGTCTGACAAAGGCCTAACATCTTGGATCTACAAGGAACTCAAACGTGCTGAAAAGAAAAAAAAACAACCCCATTACAAAGTGGGCAAAAGATATGAACATACACTTCTCAAAAGAAGACATCCAAGCGGCCAACAGACACATGAAGAAATGTTCAACCTCACTAATCTTCAAGGAGATGCAAATTAAACCTACACTGAGATACCACCTAACTCCAGTCAGAATGGCCATTATCAATCACCCCCTACTTCTTGATGACACAAATTACCTTTACTTACATTACAGATCCATGAACATAGATTTATAGCTACTTTTAATGTTCTTGTTTTTAAAAATTTGATACCAGATTTAAAAGTGTTATTCACTTACATTATACTACTACAGAATTCTGTAATTGTCTATATATTGACTTTTGACAGATAATTTTATTGTTTTAATGATTTTATGTTGCTGTTTAGCATCTTTTTATTTCAACTAGAAGAACTTCCTTTAACATTTCTCCTGGGAAGGTCTAGTGGTGGTGAATCTTTCTTAGTCTTTGTTTGTCTGGGAAAGTCTTAATTTTTCCCTTATTTTTAAAGAATAGTTTTTGCCAGTAATAGTATTCTTGGTTGATAGTTTTTCTTTCAGCACTTTGGATATATCATCCCACTGCCTTCTAGTTTGCAACATTTCTGTTAAGAAATTTACAGAAAATATTATTGAAACTCCCTTGTATATAATGAGTTGCTTTTCTTTTGCTGATTTCAAGATTATCTCTTTGTCTGTGACTTTTGACAGCTTGATTCTAATGTGTCTCAGGGCAGGTCTCTTTGGATTTATGCTAACTGAAGTTCTTTGAGCTTCTTGAATGTGCGTGTTAATTTCTGTCTTCAGATTTGAAAATTTTTCAGCCATTATTTCTTTACCTTTTTTCTCTTTTTTTTCCTTTGAGATTTCTCATAATATGTATGCTGTTCTACTTGATCATGTCCCTTAGATTGTGTCCCTTGGGCTTTCCTCATTTTTCTTTACTCTTTTTTCTTTTTGCTCTTCTCACTTGATGATTTCAAATGTCCTGTCTCTGAGTTTACTCATTCTTTTTTCTGCCTGGTCATTTGTTCTGTTGAACTCCTTTAGCAAAATTTTCAACTCAGTTATATTCTGCAGCTCCAGAATTTCTGTTTGCTTCTTCTTTATAGTTTCTGTCACTACATTGATATTTTTATCTTGTTCATGCATAGTTTTTCTGATTTTGTTTTGTTATCTATCTGCTCTCTTTAAATTAATTGAGCATCCTTATGATGGTCTTTTCAATTATTGTCTGGTAATTTATATATCTGTTTTTACAGAGTTGGTTTTGGAAATTTAATTTGGTCCCTTGATCAGGCCATATTTCCCTGTTTCTTTGTATGACTTATTATCTTTTGTTGGAAATTGACATTTGAACAAAAAAAGTCACCTCTCTGTCCCTACAGTCTGACTTTCTACAGGGAAACCCTTCATAAATAAGCCTTGCTAGAGATTCTATAGACTACTCAAGCCTTTTTTTTTTTTTTAAAGGGAATTCAGCTTTTCTGGGCTTGTGTGTATACTCTCCTTTGTTGAAGAGGTTTGCCTGCTTCTACTCCAGTCCTCCTCCTGGTATCTTTCTGTGGTAATAGCAGCCTCTTTGGTACCCTCACAAGCCTTGTTATTTGAACACTATCCCGGTATTTGAGCACTATCTGTGACACAACACTTTCTCTGGTGCTAGATAAAGCCCCTGTAATCTATTTTGTTCTCAGTGACCCTTTCTGGCACTCATTTTTGCCAGGATTTAGGCAAAAATAATTCTATTGGGCAGCCTTCCCAAAAGTCAGAATATTGAATGCATGTTCCACTCTTCTCTTTATCTCCCCAAGAAGAAACCAGGAATTGGAAATTTTCTCCCAGTAGCATTGTGCTGTGATGATTATATGCCATGAATTTCCCACTGTCTTTTATATTATTCATTTTGGCTGCATTCTCATCTGAGGTTCAAGAACAGCTTAACTGAGTTCTGGGTTGTTCATAAAAGCAATTGTTCTGTGTATTCGCATTGATTTAGTGTCTCTGTGGAGGAAGTAGGGTCTGGGGCTTCCTATTCTGTTATCTTGCTGACATGAGTCTCTCTATTTATGTATTTCTTGAATATTTACAAATTAATGTTTAAATAGATACTAGTAGTTCCTAATAATTTTAATGAAAACTTATAATCTACAGATTAATTTAACTACTATTTATGTGTATTCTACTATCTAAAATCCTTCTGGAGAGATACACGTGAATTTCCTCAAGGATATAATGAGGGTGTAATTCTTGCTCATTTATCTTTAGCCTCCTTTCCTGTTGTAACCCTGCATAAGATGTAAAAGCTTATACTGCCTCAATCAGTCAGAGATCAAAAGAAACAGACTGAATCAAATAATTTCATCTGTATTAAGTGGTTCTCTTTAATTTGTGTTTTAAACAAATTTGATGCAATTTTTAATTTTTCAAACTTTCTTTCTTTCTTTTTAAGATTCAAGGGTACACACGCATATTCATTACATGGACATATTGTGTAGTGGTGGGGATTGGGCCTCAGGTGCCCCATTCCCCAGATAGTGAACATTGTGCCTAGCAGGTAGTTTCTGAACCTCTAACCCCTCTTCTCCTCCCTTCTTATTGGTGCTCCCAGTGTCTGTTATTTTTGTCTTTGTGACTATTTACCTCCTACATATGAGTAAGAACATGCAGCACTTGGTTTTCTGTTTCTGACTCAGTTTACTTAGGATGATAATCTTCAGCGTCATCCACATTGCTGCAAAAGACACATTTTCTAAAATAAGCATGTTATTTTCATGATATCAGAATTAAGTTATAAAACCCAAAAATAGAAAGCTGAGTTTATTCTCAGATTAGTATAATTGTATTTTTATTACTCTTTCTTTATTTCTCAGGCAATGGTACAACATAACCGCATAGAGCTTCTCCACCATCCTGTATGTAAGGAATATTTACTTATGAAATGGTGAGTATTAAGTAGTATTTCTTTTTTTAAATTCTATAGCCATTAAACCTATTAAAAATCTTTTGAACAAGTATGTTTAATGGTATTTTAATGTTTTAAATTTTGCTATTTTAATATTTTGTACTCTGAAAAAATAAGTGTCAAAGGCAAATTTTGGTATTAAAAATGATGATATTACTTATCTTTGACATTAAGTGAAATATTTGTGGGGGTAGATGGAATCATTACATAAAACATGAAGAAACATCCTGGACCCTGGAATTTAGTAGACAGTGAAATAAGAGATATGTTCTAGGGAAGAACACTCACCTTTAAGTCAGAACATATGGGTTAAAGTTTCGTCCTTTCCATTAATTTGTAAGTCACAATTGTGACGTATAAATTTGCTCACAAATTGATATTCTTTCTCTGAAAATTACAAAGGAGAACTAGGTTTTCTTGGTTCTAAAGTTCAATGAATTTACCAAATAGGTTTCTAAAAAATATTTTTCCATAGATATCTTAAGTAATTATATGGTTTGCTTATTTTTTGGTAGGTTGGCTTATGGATTTAGAGCTCATATGCTGAACCTAGGTTCTTACTGTCTTGGTCTAATACCTATGACGCTCCTTGTTGTCAATATAAAACCAGGAATGGCTTTCAACTCAACTGGAATCATCAATGAAACTACTGATCATTCAGAGATATTAGACACCACGGTATTTTCAAACTTCAACTTTTAAAAATAAATGATTATTAAAAATGTATTTATTCTTAAGTATGCTAAGTCCATAGTGAATCTGAAATATCAGAAATTTGATCATTATAAATAACCTATAGAATTCATGTATGGTATCCATTTATCCTCAAATTTTTTTGTGAAATGAGAGCGAATATAAATAAATAGTTCAACAAATGAGTTTGTAAACTTACTCAAAAGAAATGTACAAGTATTAGATGCTAGCATGAATGTCAAAGTGCAAAACTTTAAAATAGATCTACAAATAAAGCAGATTTGTGATTGTCAAGGACTGTAGGGAGCAAAGAATAGGGAAATATTTTTAGTGGGCATGAGATTGCCATTTGAGATGATGAAAAAGTTATGGAATTAGATAGTGGTAATGGTCACATAACATTGAATGTACTTACTACCACCAAATTGTACATTTAAAATGTAAATGAAAAATGTAAAACTTTTAAAATGGCAAATTTTATGTTATGTGTATTTTACCACAATTTTTAAAAAAGTACATAGGTCTACAGGTTCATATTCCTTTATAATTCAAAGGCATTTTTGAACCTCTCTTTAAAAGGACATTATAAAATGGCATATGTCATCTCTACTGTGTGTGTTGAGTATTGACATCACAGTAATTTTCTGTGTAACTCAGACATGTACAGTGTATAGAAAAGAAGCAAAAAAAATTTAATAGTGAAAATTAGGAAAAAGTAAGAGTGTTTTATTTTATAGCCCTCATAACTGCCTGTCTGATCCTTTTGTTGTTGCTGTTTCAGAGTTCATATCCAATAAAAGTTTGTATGATTTTGGTTTTTTTATCAAGTATACTTGGGTATTGCAAAGAAGTGGCTCAGATTTTCCAGCAGGTACGTAATGCATTTTGTATCTCTAAAGTTGAGCATATTTCTATATGCAGAACATAAATTAATTGATAAGATATTATTTGAAATAACGTTATGTCATAATAAATTCACATAACTTAACTAATGTACATATTGAAAATACTGAGTATAAACTTTTCAAAGTGCAGAAATCACATGATTTTAGGAAAGTCACTGCCTGTTTAATGTACCTGTGAAAGATTTGCTGCCTTTACTAGTCCATATGGATCTGCCTGGCTGCAAATGGCCATTATGAAAGACTTTTCTGTGTTTTCTCACGTCATTTTTAATATTTTACTAACGTAATAGTCAGATTTTGTATTTGATACTTTAAAATTTATAAATAATTTATCTAGCCTAAGACTTCATTTCATATGAATTTTTCTTTGAATTCCTTTTCCAACAGGAGTGCTTTTCTTTATTAAATAAAATTCCAAGTTATAATAGAAATTGGGAATTTTTATAGCATAATTTTTACTTTATACTCTTTTTTAAAATAGATGAACCTAGTTCAGATCAGACTGAAGAATATGTAAATTATCTGTAGGTCTTTGCTTTGGTTGATAAATGGCATGGCATAGATCTTTCACTTCTCAGTGTGGAGGTTTAAAGTCTTTTATTATTTATCTTTTTGTATATTTTGTGAATGTTATTTTTATAAGTCATATACCTCTTATGAAACACCTCATTTCTGGAAAATCTTTATTACATCATGTAAATACATGAATATTTGCATTAAACAATTTAATGATAATGCTTTGCATTTGTTTAATATCCTATATAGTAAATTCTTTCATATATATGCTTTAAGTAAATTGTCACAATTCTGAGAGCTAAACTGCATTGTTCCACTTAACTTTAAAGATTTAGGGTATATTAATTAATCTCTCTTGTCATTATTTTCATTTTCTCATAATGAAATTTGCAAGTTATGATCTAAATTGAGCTACAAAGTTATATGAATTCTCTGTCAGATTTGATCTCCAAATTTTCTTGTCTTAAATGGCCTACTGTATGGGAAATTTAATGTTTAAAATTTGGAATATTTGAGAATACCATTGTGATTTGTTTTCACTTCCTAATCAAGTCTTAGCACAGACATCTAATCTCTTTAGAAACAGCTTTAGTTCATAAAGAGAACTCCAAATGCATATCCTTATGTAGGCAAAAATGTGCCAACTTGCAGTCTCCCAGAAATTTCCTTAAGATGGACTGGACTCTACAGGGAAAGCCCAGCAATTTGTAGGATTTCCTTAGTCATCAGAGTCCCATAGTACCAGGTTAACAGATGACTCTGGGCCATTTCAAACCTTGATCTGTACCCTAGGGGCTCTGAAGTCAATCCAGGATGGCAGGAGATGACTCCATGATCCTAAACTTCTCTCCAGATGGCTATAATGCTAGAAAAAAAATTGTTACTAGTCATATATATATGTAATTTTTCATTATTTTCGATCACAGGAAAGGAATTACTTTTGGGATCATAACAATATCGTTGAATGGATTATCTATACAACAAGCATCATTTTTGTACTGCCCTTGTTCATTAATATACCAGCTTATGTGCAGTGGCAATGTGGAGCAATTGCTATATACTTCTATTGGATGAACTTCTTATTGTATCTTCAAAGGTAAAGCCAGCTTGCATGATTTCTACATTCTTTAAGCATTTGTGTGGGGGGGTGTTGGTCAGGGTCTCACTTTGTCACCCAGGCTGGAGTGCAATGACACAATCATGGCTCACCGCAGCCTAGTTCTCCTAGGCTCAGGCTATCCTTTTGCTTCAGTCTCCCATGTAGCTGGGACTACAGGCATGCACCACCATATCTGGCTAATTTTTGTAGTTTTGTGGAAATGAAGTCTTGCTATGTTGCCTAGACTGGTCTCAACTCCTGGGCTTAAGCAATCCTGCCACCTTGGCCTCCCAAAGTGCTAGGATTACAGATGTGAGCCACTGCATTTGGAACCTTTAAGCATTTTTAATATCAAAAGAAAAACTATTGTAAGTGACATAAATTTATAACTGGCTCACTCCTTTTCCAACTGTTTTTTAAAAAGTTTTTGGAGTTGTTATTTTGTTATTTTGGTTTTTTTTTTTTGTATTCTATTAAGGGAAACTTGGGGGCTGGTTCTGGAATTTACAGTGTAGATTAAAATTTCTCAACTACAGCACAATTGAAATTTGGGACCAGACAGTTTTTTTGTTTGTTTGTTTGTTGAAGGAGACTGTCTTGTGTATTGTAAAATATTTAGTGGTATCCCTGGCTTCTACCCACTAGATACCAGTAGCATCCAGCTCTTCTCAGTTGTGATAACCAAAAATGTATCCAGAAATTGCGGGATGTACACCGGCTACCAAATAAGTCCAGATCAAGAACTACTGGTCTAGACCAATCTAGATGAAATGTGGAGATTAAATGGGAATAAAAGTGTTGATTATTCTTGTTTCACCTGATATTATTTTGTAATCATTTACTTTGTATTAAAACACTCAAATTGAACTGATAGGTAGTTTGGGGAATAACAGTGGTATTAAAAAAAAATAAGCCCCAAAAATCTAATTTTAGAGAGAGAATAAAGACTGAGTTCTCTCTACCTCTGACAATTGCTAATGTTTAGTTAATTGTTATTTTACATAAATTTTACAATAACAAGAGGCCAGTGCTATTACTTGCATTATCTAAAAGAAGAAGCTGTAGCACTAAGTTAAATAACTTGCTCAAGATCTCAGCTAGTCAGTGAAAACTAACCAAAGTCTTTTTGACTCCAGGGATCATGGTTTTTCCACCATATCATCTGCATTGCTGAATCATGAGCACAGTGATGCAGAGTTGAACCCAACCCCTTGGAGAGGACATGATATGGTGAAAAGAAAGGATTCAAGACAGGTTCAGACACTGTTATTCCCTTGGCTCTGTCCTTATCAGTGACCTTGTCAAGTTACTGGACATCTCAGTGAATTTAGCTAAAGTTCCTTTCAGCTTTAAAATCCTGTGATTCCCCCTTTCAACAAATTTTCTTGGCCAAAGGAAAAGTACAACTTAGTGGTCAGAAAACATACCCATTATCTACCCAAATGTTTCACAATAAAGGATGCTGGAAGCAGAAAAGGAAACTGAAGGAGGCTGTGAGAGTGGGTGAATGTAAATCATGTGTGTCTTGCAATCGATGCCTTTGGGAACATGAGCTCATCCAATCAATCTCTACTTGATTCAGTACATATCGTTTAATCCTTTATTAAACATCTGGTAGCATTTTCTTTGATATTAGGAGATTATTTTTCTCTCCCATTTTAGTAGAAGTAATGTCAAGTTGTCAAGTGATAAAATAAAGATAAACATTAACAAAAAGAGAGAAAAAAAGCAATTTGATAAACAGATTGGAAATAAGACTTGATTAGTCATGAACTATCGTGTCTTCATTTTCAAAGTAATTGACCTCAATTATCTGTGAAATCTAGTACCTGAGTTAATGCATGGTACATCTTGTCACTGAATGAAAGGCACTCAGATGACAAAAGTGAGAAAATAATTTATTTATTTTTATTTTCCTAGATTTGAAAATTGTGGAATTTTCATTGTTATGTTGGAGGTAATTTTGAAAACTTTGTTGAGGTCTACAGTCATATTTATGTTCCTTCTTCTGGCTTTTGGGCTCAGCTTTTATGTCCTCCTGAATGCACAGGTAAGGCAGTAGCATCAGTAGTTGATTTTGTCATTGTAACTATTAAAAATATATACTTATACATAAATCTCAATGGCCTAGAAAATTCATAATCACATAACACCAGTATTCGAATACTTTAGCTATTTCAATATGATATATCTTTCAAATGATTTTATTGCAAAAAAGTGTAGTCTTTCTAAATTACTTTTTGCATCATCAGAAAGTTTATGTATAGTGTACGATGACCTGCTATGTGTGCAGAAAAGATACTTTTGATAACTTGGCCACAGTTTATTATTTTTTCTTATTATTGCATTTCAGTAGTTATATGCCTATAACTGTTTTAAAGTATTCTTTCTTAATAGAATATTTATTGTTTTACTCTCCAGGAAACATTTTTTTTCTTATATACATTATGAATTTCATTTTTATCCTGCCATTTTTTTCTCAGGATGCTTTCAGCTCTCCATTGCTTTCTATAATCCAAGCCTTCAGCATGATGCTAGGAGATATCAATTATCGAGATGCCTTCTTAGAACCATATTTGAGAAATGAGTTGTCATATCCAGTGCTGTCCTTTGCACAGCTTATTACCTTCACCATTTTTGTCCCAATTGTCCTCATGAATTTACTTGTGAGTAATTTATCCTTGTATTTTCTCTTTGTTGCTCATTTGAGACATTTGATAATGGTAACTATTTTAACTTCCTTAACTTCCCTCCACTGGGGGGATGAGGAAGGTTCTACTACAAAATCTGTCCTTTCACCATTTATTTGGTGCCTGAAGAGAAGCAAGTGCATCAAAGTTTCAAGGGAATACAAAGATGCATTCACTTGGCAAATACTTACCAAGAAGCTACTAAACGCCATACACTTGTTATAGGTTCTGGGAAACATTCGTGAGCAAAACAGACCAATACTCAGTCCTAATAGGATTCTAAACTCGTCAAGAAGTTAGGTAATAAACAAACATGTAGCACAACGTCATAATGTAACAAATGCCATGAAGAACTAGAAAGCAGAAAAAGGCAATAAAGGTGAAGGTGTGTGTTGCTTTGTGATTGGGGTTGGTCAGAAGTTAAGCATATAGTGGGTCTTGACTCTACCCTTGAATTTAGCATTGACCAGATAATAAGAGGGAAAAGGCTTCTCATGAGGAGGGCACCTGCAACATTCTAATGCCACATCAAACCCAGCCAAAGTCTAGACACCCACATCCATCCTTCCATGCGGGATTTTGTAAAGAATCTGCTCAAGCCATGAGCATCTTAGTGGATGCCAGCAGAAGTGCATCCCAGTTGCAGGTCCACAGAGAGCCTTATTGACATGACAGTGCCTACTCTTTCCTTTTCCATACAAACACACATTGTTTTTTTCTGAAAAGAGAAAAATAATATAGACTCTTTAGTGTATTCATCCACTTATCTGAATCAACTCCAGAGTTTTATTCTGGTGACCTAGAAAAACAAAGGATAGCACTAGAAAATGACTAATAATAGAGAATAGTAGCGAATGCCATAAAGTCCACATTCTTCTCTTGTAATTGGTATGTTTTGGAAGATAATTATCCAGAATAGAACTTGGCTGAGCAGTAAAATAGGTTGGTACCATGCTGAAGAGCCACACACTCAGCACCCAGTAGGCATTTCTACCTGCAGGTCCTGGAGGAAAATCCAACCCAAGAGAGCCAACACTGACGTTACCTTTCCTTCAGAATTGGCTACCGCCTCTCAGTAGCATCTCCTAGTCATCTCACACAGATCATTGGCAGATATTCCCAATACCGCCCTCCTCCTTTTGTCCTCAATTCTTTCAATAATTGTTTGACTCTTACATATACTTGCAGTTGGCTTGCATCTTCGGAGTTCCTCCTCTAAATTGCTGTAGTAACCTAAAGAATGCCTCTATCTTGCCTCACTTCTCTAATTCATCTTACAAATTGTCACCATACTGATGTTCTGATAGTGAAAACTTGGCCCTTTTAAGAGTGGCGCTTTTAACAAATTTTTATGACTCTTCAATGAAAGAAGATCTAGTCTAAACCTGTCAGCTTCACGAGCAAGAATCCCTGTGATCTGGATCTTACCCAGATCTTACTCAGCTCCCCACAGATTCCAGAAATGCACCCTCTCTGAATGTGCCACACTTTCCTTCATGCCTCCTGTACTCTGTACAGGCTCTTCCTTTTGCCTAGAAAAACATTCCACCATAGGTTAACTCTTTCTAAGCTTTCAAAGCTCAGCTCAAGCATCATCTCCTCTGAGATTTCCTTAACCCATCTCTCTCACCCAATTACCTTAGTCTAAATTGAATGCCCTTTCCTTGTATTATCATAGCTTTAAGGTCATGAATCAAAGAAAGATAATAATAATAAAACCTACTTCCTAAATTATTGTGAAGATTAAATGAGCTAATATGAAGCACTTAAAACTGGGCACACGAGAGGCATACAGTAAGTAGTAGCTACTATTAAGAGTAAATAATTGATCTATTCTGTGGCTCACAAGCTCAGATGTTTTCAGAGACCAGGCAAGAATCTTAAATGTGTGAAGCAGTAGGTATGAGATGGTTGGTTTTAATAGGGGCTATTGTAAATTGGAGAGAATATCTATCTAAGGGCTTGCAAATTAAAAACCAAAGCACCTTATCTGCCTAGTTAAATCTAGTTACTGACTGTGTATGGTTCTCCATAGTAGTTTGCAAACCCTAGAATACACTTTCCCGCTGTACTGTCATTCAGTGAATATTTTGTATATCTACTGTGTGCCCTGCTCTGTGCTAAGCCCTGAGCATACAGTGGTGACCTTGGTAGACAGAGCCCTCTTCTCATAGAGTTTACTTTGAGCTCCTTGAGATAAGTCATTTACTTTTCCTTTCTGGTACAGCATGCAGGATGCAGGCTCAGCATAGGCAGGGACTGAGTGCCTCAGAATAAAAGAGCTAGTAAAATGAGTTCATTTCATTAGCTTGATTAGAGCTGAGCTAACAGCTTCCCTTCACCTGATTCTAGTCAGCCATGGATTTACAGAGGGGTTTTTACCAGAGCCTCTCCCACCCCTACAGTGTACCTTTTCCTGCAAAAGATATGTAAAATATACAATCTTTCATTCCCTTAGTTTTATGCTTTCACTTTTCCATGTTGTCACATCACTCTTGTCTACCTTAGTTACTGAACTCCTGGAGTTTTCAACCATGTTGTGTGGTTACATCCAATTGCATTTGATATTACATCACTCCTGAATAACATCTCTAAGAATAACATATTTTTATCTTAAATTAAAATGAATTTCCGATTAATTTGTGTGTTGTAAGTTTTCATAACAGTTAAGATTACTGAACCCACCAACGTGACCACCTTGTTGCAAAGGTATATAGGCTTTGCAGTTTTCTGTAAAGTGCATTAGCAAAGCATTATGCAGCCACTACTAGCATACCACATACTCACTCACTCTTCCACTTCAGCCAGAGACCTTGTTATGGGACTTGAGTGTTTATGTCCTATCGAAAATTTACATACAGAAAATGAATCACCAAGGTGATAATATTAGAAGGAGGGACATTTGGGAGGCTATTAGGTCTTGAGGGCAAAACTTTCATGAATGGAATAAGTACCCTTATAAAAGAGAGGGAAGAGAAGTTGTTAGCCCCATTTTAGCCTTCTGTCATGTGAGAACGCATAAAAGGCACCACCTATGGGGAACACGCCCTTAACAGTCACATGATCTGCTATCACCTTGATTTTGAACTTCTCAGCCTCGGGAACTGTGAACAATAAATTTATGCTATTTATAAATTACCCAACATAAGAGATATTGTTATAGCAACCTGAACAGACTAAGATAGACCTTAAGAGCATTTTTCGGTGGGCCATTAAACTGTAGTGGTTAAATTTTATATCATACTTCAGATTGGTTTGGCAGTTGGTGATATTGCTGAGGTCCAGAAACATGCAGCATTGAAGAGGATTGCTATGCAGGTAAGTGCAATGCTTCTCAACTTATGGCAGGTTTTACATCCTGATAAACACATCGAAGTTGAAAATACTGTAAGCCAAAATGGGCATTTTGTAGATACTATAATGGCATGTGAAGCAAAATATCTAAATAAAGCAAAATATCTAAATAACACTGACAACACAGTATACTGTAGAGTCTCGGTTGCTTCTCCTTGGAAGCTGCAGTCTGCTTCCCCCCCACCCCCAGCATCACAGGAGAGTATCATTCTGCATGTTCCTAACCCAAGAAGAGATCAAAATTTAAAATTCAAAGTACAGATTCTGCTGAATGCATATCACTAATGCATCATCATAAAGGGGGAAAATCTTAAGTCAAATCATCCTTAGATATGGCCTGCATTATATTTATTTAAACCTATTGAAATGACCATTGTCATAACTACTTACTTTTCTGAGAACACAATTATTTAAAGTGAATATTTTCTTAATCCTGAGGAGTAGTGCCCTGTGCCTGTGTGTATGCCTATGTCCATTTGGCATGCTTGGTATAATAAAAAATGATTGAAAAAAATGTCCTAGAACAATTTTAGCAGAACAATTGAGAAATTGCCTGAGTCTTTTTTTTTTTTTTTTGAGTTGGAGTCTCACTCTGTCACCCAGACTGGAGTGCAGTGGTACCCTCCTGGCCACCGCAGCCTTGACCTGCTGGGCTCCAGTGATCCTTCAGCTTCAGCCTTCAAGGAGTCAGAACTACAGGTGCGTGCTACCACGCCTGTCTAATTTTTGACTTATTGTAGAGACAAGGTCTTGCCAAGTTGCCTGGGTGGGTCTCGAACCCACAGGCTCAGGCAATCCACTTGCCTCAGTCTCCAAAAGGCTAAGCCACCGAGCCCGACCAATACTTTTTTTTTTTTTTTTTTTTTTTTTTTTTTTTAGAATTGGAGTCTCACTCTGTCGTCCAGACTGGAGTGCAGTGGCCGCTCCCGGGCACCGCAGCCTCGGCTGCTGGGCTCCAGCGATCCTTCCGCCTCAGCCTTCCGAGTAGCCGGAATTACAGGCATGCGCCACCACACCCAGCTGATTTTTTTGATTTATTGTAGAGATGAGGTCTCACTGCCCAGGCGGGTCTCGAACCCGCGGGCTCAGGCAATTCACTCACCTCAGCCTCCCAAAGGCGCGGGATTACAGGCTGAGCCACCGAGCCCGGCTTTTTTTTTTTTTTTTTTTTTTTTTTTATGTTAACATGTGACCGGTCAGGTAGTTAGCACTGGCAGTATAGCCCAGCTATTTGAAGGAACTCCTGATATTTTAGGTAGGTAATTACAGGGATCACCTAGCATATTTTTTAATTAAACTCTAACTGAATCCATGAATTTTTGTGCTCTTGTGACTTTTTTTTTTCAATTTTCTAGACAATTTGTTGTAAAATTTGCTTGAGTCAAAGGTTTATGGATAGGTGCTTGGCCGTTGATTCGTGCGAGATAGTTTTCTGCTATTTAACACAAAGTTATTTCTATATGTTTGACTGCATTATCTTTAAATTTCAGATTCAAATAGGAATATTTGATGCTTCAAAAATATCTGTTGATCAGTTGAATATATGCATTCAGAAACTTGGCCAGTTCAAGACAAAGAACAATCCATGCTAAGATATAACTTTCTCTTCACTCTTGTCTCTAATTTCTTGTCACAATTCTTCTTCCCTGCTATCCATTTAGCTATACAGTAGCATTGATTAATTCAAAAACAAAGTTTCAGTACATTGTATGTGCCAAGTGCAGTACAACTTAGCATGAGGGCCCAGAGGAAATAAAGGGATGTGATTCCTGACTTTATTGAGTAAAAATACATCTGCTTAGCACATCAACTGGACATTCATAGAACGAAATAGCAAAAGCCAACTTAGAACCATTCCTAAACTTTGTTTTGTGACTTAGCTTGGTATTATGTGGGGAGCTTGGAACATTTAGAGAATAAAAATATTAATTAAATGGTTATTGGGTATTTTTTAAAAAGGCTAAAATTACTAAGGGACTGCTATAGAACGGAGTTGGGGGAGTCAGTGTTGAAAGATGGCTGGGATTTAAAAGACTATTGAGATTGTCCCAAAAGGAAGGACCCAGTAGGAGCAAAGGACCAAACAGAACTGGGAGAAGTGACCATGGTGCTGTCATGAAGCCCCTCTTTGAAGGATGGTTCATGCTCAAGGGAAATTCACCTAGATTGCCTTAGATGTTGGAGGGCTTAATTCAAAAACAGCAGAAAAAACAAAAATCTTAGTAAAGAGCCATAAATGATGAAGTGCTTCAAGTTATTTTGTTCGTGAGTTGAGAGTTATTTTCAGCCTTTGCAAAATGAAAATGGTATTTAGCTGAGATGTTATTATCTTGGTTTAGTGGAGAGAGACTGAAGGAAGGAAGAGTTAATGATAGGCTATTACTATACCAAAAATGTGTTTAGGAACTCCAGATAGGTGGATGAGGAGAGAGTCTATAAACCTCTTGGCAGACATGTCAGCAGTGATTCATAACTGCCAAATGACTCTTCAAAATACCGGGGTAAATGCATAAAAAGAATAATACAAGCCACAGCACTAGTCAGATATCTTGGAAAAGCCTGCTCAGCTACAGTATCAGAGAAGTTGAGTTGAAAAGCACGATCCTAGATCCTATATTGTTTACTCTGTTCCCTGAAACCAAACAGCTCAAAGCCTTTCATGTTATATGTTACTTGTTTTGAATCAAGAACTCCACTGACTAGAGAATGAGGAAGCCATTTTCCTATTGTCCCAGAGTTGTTTTTTAAGCAACTCTCTGCATTCGTTCTGAAACCTACATCTACCACAACAGAACCAGGAGCAGAAGGAGACAGGTAGATTGCATTTCCTGTAGAGTCATTGAGTCCTCACAGGATTCTCTCAAACACAAGTAGAAAAATAAAGGTCCCTGGGACAGTGTATGCTGGGAGATATGTTTGTTATGGAGACTGTTGGTTCTTAGGGGACAGGAACTGTGAGTATTTTGAGGGTCTTGGAGTTGCTTGCGTGTTTTTTGACATTGGTATCTCTACTTCCCAGCACAGTGCTAGCAGCTGTAGACACACCATAAACATTTATAGTCCTGCTGCAAAATAGGAAAGGAAATCCACAAAGCTCACCTTACCCTTAAACATGGAAATCCCACCAATTAGAGGAGGTAAAGATGATACCTTAGCCCAATGGAGTCACACCCAGTGGGTCCCACCAAACCCACATTGGACTTGGGGCTTTGCTTGTCAACCTCCCCCTGGACCATATTTGAGGAGCAGTGTAGACAATGGACAGGTTGAGAGACATACCATGCACGTTATCTATTTGCAAACACTGAGCTTTAAAAATCTTTTTCAATCAAGTTTCAATAAGTAAATAATAGCACGTGACCTCTAAAAATGTATATGTATATATATATATATTTTGGGGGGGCTTTTTTTTTTCCCTTAGTTCTTTAGGGTAATATTCAGGAGAAAAGAATATTACCCTAAAGAACTAAGGAAAAAAAAGAAGCCTCCCAAATTACTATAGGAAAAAAAGCCTGTTTGTTTGCTTGTTTTTGAACCAGCATCTCACTTTATCACCCAGGCTAGAATCCAGTGGCATGATCATGGCTTCCCACAGACTCCACCCTCTGGGCTCAGGTTATCCTTTGCCTCAGCCTCCCGAGTAGCTGGGACTACAAGCATGAGTCACCATGCCTGTCTAATGAAAAAAAAAATTTTTTTTTTTTTTGTAGAGACAAAGTCCAACTATGTCCACCAGCCTAGGCTGGTGTTGAACTCCTGAGCTCAAACAATTCTCCTGCCTTGGCTTCCCAAAGTGCTGGAATTACAGGCATGAGCCACTGTGTCCAGCCTGGTATTGTTAATAAAATATAAAGACATAGCTTCTCTTGAAACTGGAACTAATATAAATATGTTAAGTTGTGGTAAGTGCTTCAAAAATAACAGGGACCTTAAATAAGGAGAGTGTCATGTGGAGGGAAGTGAGGACTACTGTTTTAAGCGGTGTGGCCAGGGACCCTATTACTATCTCACCATTGATGACTATAATCATGTAAATACCCATATATTAAAAAGTGTATGGTCAGAGATTAGAAGGCAAATCTCATTGTATAGTAATTACGGTAAATATTTCTAAACAACAGACACGAAGGATTATTTAAAAAAAATTTTTTTAACACAACCAAAAAGAAACACTGAAAATATGAGAATTAAATTAAATATATATTCAAGGTAAAAACATTTAATGAGATAAATATTGTATTCCTGAAAATAGAAATTATACTCTATAAATATCATGAATAAACCACTTTCACCAGACAGCACAGCATGGGGGGAAAAATGTATAAAAGACTCTTAGGAATGCTAGTTCCAACCCTGCTAGTTCAAATCCTTTTTTTTTCTTTTCTTTATTTTAAATACAATTCATGGTTAGGTATACAAATGTTCATTATGCAGCTCCTCCTGTTGATGAAGTGTGCCCCTTCCTCCCCTGGCAGTTTCCCTCAACTGCCGATCTCACCCACCCTGTCAGTTTCCCACTACTGCCAATCCCTTTCTTATAGTATAATTGTTCAAGGTCCACTTGTGAGTGAGAACATATGGTACTCTGTTCTTTGTTTCTGTGATAGATCACTGAGTATGATTGACTCTGAATCCATCCAAGTTGCTGCGAAGTTCATATATTTGTTCTTCATTATGGCTGCATAATATTCCATTATGTATATGTACCACATTTTTTTAACCCAGTCCAACTTCAGTTCTAATTCTTTTACTGCATGCCTTTGTTTTTCTCCCATGAAGCACTCCTTCTGTCCTGCCCCAGCAAGATACATACATAAATACATAGATGATAGACAGATATTCATACCATTCATACTTCCCAGTTATGCACATTTTATTGTATTGTAATGCCCCGACAGTATGTACTGTTTTTTTCTTTATATATACATATGCACAGTGTCTATCACAGCCCACAAGCAATAAACACACCAGCTGCCCAAATTGAATTACTTATTTGAACAACTTGCTGCTTGACTGCAGATTTCTACCCCTGTCTTGTCTTGAGCTAGGAATTAAGGAAATCTGGCCAGCCCAGTTGCTGTCCAGAAGTCAGGACTCAGTTTTCATTTTACTGTACTGATGATGGCCTTGGTGGAATATAAGAATTTCAGGTACGAATTAATGATTCTGTCAATAAATCCAAAATGTACTTTTTTAGGTGGAACTTCATACCAGCTTAGAGAAGAAGCTGCCACTCTGGTTCCTACGCAAAGTGGATCAGAAATCCACCACTGTGTATCCCAACAGACCCAGAAATAGTGGGAGGTTATTTGTAAGTACATGGACAACTAACAATCTCAATAACATGATACTGCTTGATGTTCATTAATTGTGTCATCGCTAAGGGACCTCTTTTATAGACTTTGAAGCTCTGCCCTTGGCGGGGAGAAGTAGTTGTGCTTAAAAAAAAAAAAGGCCAGGCTCAGTGGCTCAGCCTGTAATCCGCACCTTTGGAAGGCTGAGGTGAGTAGATTGCTGAGCCCGCGGGTTCAAGACCCGCCTGGGCAACTTGGCGAGACCACATCTCTACAATAAATAAATTTTAAAAAATTAGCCAGGCGTGGTAGTGCGCGCCTGTAGTTCTGACTACTCGGAGGCGGAAGGATCGCCGGAGCCCAGCAGGTCGAGGCTGCGGTGGCCAGGAGCGGCCACTGCACTCCAGTTTGGGCGACAGAGTGAGACTCCAACTCAAAAAAAAAAAAAAAGGACATGATTAGCTCATGATGCGAAAGTGATAGGTGGGAGCAGGGAGACATTTGCTGTCCTCTTCCAGGTAGCTCATCCATATCATCTGTCTTAAATATGTGCCATCCTTATGAGAGAGGATGGGTGGGGGGGACCAACAGTACTCTTTCTGTATGTTTTTACAGTGCAGATATACTTTGTCTTTCCTAGTCACAAGTCACTTAGATTTATGTGTAGATATAGATACACATATGTATGTTTAAGTGTATATATAAAACACACAATAAAGAATGCACATATATGTATCTATACACACATACACTCATAAAGAGTGTTCACTATAGAAAATATACAAACTAATCAAAGGCTAAGGAAGACTAATGGAAAGAGGATGATAAGAAGAGTCAGAAATATTGCATGCTAACCCTACCCACGCCTGGGCTCCAACTGTCTCTATGACTATTCTTTCTGAGTTCTTTGCAGGATAATTTTCCCTTGTGTAGTCATAAAATGATAAAGTCAACATAAGTATCAGTCTAGGCTTTATTCTAACTCCATACAATCTCCCTATCTGATTTCACTCCTTATCCATGGTTGCAGTTACCACCTAAGCACAGAAGATTCAGCAATTGATTTTTCTATCTAGAGCTGGCCCTGGAGTTCCAGAGCCCCATATCCTCTCCACTTGTATGTCTTAAAAGGTGCCTCACATGCAGCATGTCCGAAACCAAACTTCACTGCTCCCCTGTTTCACCCTCTCCTCACATCCCCCCACGGGGTGAGAGTGAAGAAGTCCCGGTCCTTCTCTAAAGTGTCTCATTGAAACCAATGTCAACATCATTAATTTACCTGAGCAAGCCAGCCACCCAAGAGTCAACCTTGCCATGCCCTATCCCTCACCCCCTGCCTTCTCAAGTTCAGTCAATCCCCATGTCTAGTTCCTTTGACTTCGCCGGGTGGCCTATGCAAGTCATCATCTTCTCTTGCCTGGATTTGTAGAATTAGCTTGTTCTTGGTCATTTCAAATCTGCCCTGGACTCTTTCCCATCTGCCCGTGGTTTCAAAAGATAGTAGATTAAAATATAATGTATTAAAATAGCATTTCAGAAATTTCTCCACAAGAAATTTTGTCAGTTGGTTCAGTTGTGTGGGATAATAATGCAAAGCACATTAAGAGAATTAAAACTAATCTTGTATGGAAAATCCCATCACCTCCCATGATGGACATTTCTCATGAGAATACATCAGGTAAATCATTCAGTCAAGCCCCTTCCTAAATAATCCCTTACTCCATTTGACTCCTTTTCCATATTATTTGGACATTTAAAATTTTTCTTTTATTATTTTTATTTATTTTAAAGATGTGGGGTGCAAATCAGGATTAGGTAAATAAGTGGTCATCATACAGGTAAACTTTGGACCTCTCTTTGGTCTCTACTTCACCTGGTTTGAGACCAGATATCCTTATTAATGTTATATGATCTTTCCCACTCCCCTGGTAGTTTTCTGCTACTGCCACTCCCTTTCATAGAATCCACTTATGAATGAGAACATGTGGTACTCAGTTCACTGTTTCTGTGACAGATTACTGAGTATTATAGACTCTAAATCCATTCAAGTTGCTGCAAAGTCCATAATTTTGTCCTTTATAGCTGTGTAATATTCCATCATGTGTATGTACCACGTTTTTTTTAAGCCAGTTCTCTTTCGACGGACAACATGGTTGGCTCCATGTTTTTGCTATTGTGAATCATGCTGCATAAAATATGCATGTGCAGGTATCTTCTTTACAGAATAATTTGAGCACCTTCAAGTATACTCCCAGAAGAGGGATTGCTGGGTCGTATGAAAGGTTAAAGTTTAGATCTTTTAGGAATGGCCACACTGTTTTCCACAGAGGTTGTACTAGTTTACACTCCCACCAACAGTGTAGAAGCACTCCTTTTTCCTTACATACACTCTAGCATCTGTTGTTTTTTGAATTACTGATGTGATCATCCTGACTGGAGTTAGGTGGTATCTCAGTGTGATTTTAGATAATTAGTGAGACTGAGCATTGTTCATGTATCTGTTGGCTGCTTGTATGTCTTCTTTGGAGACATGTCTAATCATATCTTTTTCCCACTTTTTAATGGAGTTTTCTTTTTCCTTCCCTCACATTTGAGTTCCTTGTGGATCTTAGATGTTAAGCCTTTGTCAGATATAGAGTTGACACATATATTTTCCCATTCTGTGGGCTGTCTCCCTGCTCTCTTGATGGTTTCTTTTGCTTTGCAGAAGCTTTTCAGTTTGATGAGTTCCAACTAGTCTATACTATCCCTTATGGAATGGACATTTGGGATTTTGATCAGGAATTGGTTGCCTATTCCAATTTGTGTAAGGGTGTCTCCTGCATTTTCTAAGATTCTTATAGTTTGAGGTTTTACATTAGAGTGGATTTTTGTGTATATTGATAAGTAGAGGTCCTGTTTCAATCTTCTGCATGTGGTCAACCAGTTTTCCCAGCACCGTTTACTGAATTGTTTGCCTCTCCCTAGTAGTTGTTGGTGGAGGCTTTGTTGAAGATGAACCGGTTGAGAAATTGAGATTTTGCTTCTGAAATCTCTATCCTGTTCCATTGTTCTATTTGCCTGTTCTTGTACCAGTACCAGGCTGTTTTGATTACTATAGATTTATAGTAAAGTTTAGAGCCTGGAAGTGTGATACTTGCCACTTTGTTTTTTTTGCTAAGAATTGTTTTGGCTATTGGTGATCTTTTGTATTTCCATATGAATTTCTGTACAGTCATTTCCAGGTCTGAGAAGAATGATGCTGGTAATTTAATGGGTATTGTGTTGAATCTGTAGATTGCCTTTGGTAGAATGGACATCTTAATAATGTTGATGCTTCTAATTCATGCCATAGAGTACTCTTCCATTTGTTTGTGTCTTTGATTTCTTTGAGCAGTGTTTTGTAGTTTTCATTATGAAAGTCTTTCACCTCTCTTGTTAGAAAGATGTCAAGATATTTCATTTTTTGTGGCAATTATAAATGGGATTGTGCTTTTTTTTTTTTTGAGTTGGAGTCTCACTCTGTCACCCAGACTGGAGTGCAGTGGCCGCTCCCGGCCACTCTAGCCTCGACCTGCTGGGCTCCAGCGATCCTTCCGCCTCAGCCTTCCAAGTAGCTGGAACTACAGATGCACGCTACCACGCCTGGCTAATTTTTTGATTTATTGTAGAGATGAGGTCTCGTTGCCCAGGTGGGTCTTGAACCCACGGGCTCAGGCAATCCACTCACCTCAGCCTTCCAAAGCGCGGGATTACAGGCTGAACCACTGAGCCCGGCTTGGGATTGTGCTTTTTGTTTGGTTCTCTGACAGTCTGTTGTTGGTGTATAAGAATGTGACTGTCTTTTGCACATTTATTTTGCACTTGAGACTTTGCCAAAGTCCTTTATCAGTGCAAGGAGGTTTGTGACAGATTCTCTTGGGGTTTCTAGGTATGAGATCATATCATCAGAAAGGAGGGACAACTTAACTTCCTCTTTTCCTATTTGGATACCCCTGATTTCCTTCTCTTGTCTGATTGCTCTAGCTAGGACTTCCAACACTATGTTGAACAGGAGGAGTGAGCAATATGTTGGCTGTGGGTTTATCATAGATGCCTCTTAACTATATTTTGAAGTATGTTCCCTCTATGCCTAGGTATTCAAGGGTTTTTATCAAGAAGGGATGTTGAATTTTATAGAAAGCTTTATCTATGCTAATAATGCAATCATGTGGTTCTTGTTTTTACATCTATTGATGTATTTGATTACATTTATGGTCTTGTAGATGTTGAACCAGACTTACATCCCAAGGATGAAGTCTACTTGGTTATGGTGGATGATTTTTGAGATGTGTTGTTGGATCCAATTTACTATAATCTTGTTGAGAATTTTTGCATCTATGTTCACCAGAGATATTGGCTTGTGTTGGATCTTTACCTGGTTTGGGTATCAGTGTGATGTTAGCTTCATAAAATGATTTGGGGAGAGTTCCATCTTTCTTGATTGCCTGGAATGCTTTCAATACGATTGGTATCAGCTCCTCCTTGTATGTTTTGTAGAATTCTGCTGGAAAGCCCTCTGGCCCAGGGCTTGTTTTTGTAGGTAGTTTTCTTATGATGGAGTAAATTTCCTGGGTTGTTATTGGTCTATTTAGGGTCTGAACTTCTTCTTGTTTCAATCCTGGGAGGTTGTGTGATGTCAGAAAATCCTCCATTTCATTTAGGTTTTCAAGTTTGTTTCCATACAGGTGTGAATATAGTAATCTCTGATAATCTTTTGAGTTGCTTCAGGGTCAGTTGTGACTTGATCTTTTGTGTTTCTGATGGTTTCTATTGGGCTTTTTCTCTGTTTTTCATCGTCAGTCTGGCTAGGAGTCCATCAATCTTGTTTATCCTTTCAGAGAACCAGTTTTTTGTTTTGTTGATTTTTTTCTATGATATTTTTGCCTTCTATGTCCCACGTTTGGGCTTTTACTTTGGTTATCAGGATTCTTCGACTGAAGTTAGGGTTTTGGTGGTCTTGTCCTGCTACCTTAGGTTATTCATTCGCTGTTAACTTGTGATCATTCTATTTTCTTGTTGTGCATTCATAGAGATATAAATTCTCCTTCTAGTACTGCTTTCATGGCATCCCAGCAGTTCTGGTAAGATGTATCTTTATTTTCATTTGTTTTCAGGAATTTTTAAATTTCTGCTTTGATTTCTGTGTTGACCCAGGAGTTGTTTAGCATCATGCTTTTAGTGTCCATGTCTTTGTGGGTTTGGGCTTAGGTTTGTTGATATTGATATTTTTTTTCCACTCTGGTCTGAGAATGTGCATGGCAGAAGTATCGTCTTATGGAATTTATTTATGCTTAATCTGTGACCGAGGATGTGGTCAATCTTGGAATACTTTCCATGTGATGATGAGTAGAATATATATTCCATGGTTGTTGGGTAGAGTGTTCTCTGGGTATCTATTACGTCCATTTGGTCAAGTGTCAAGATGAGGTTCCGGATCTCCTTGTTAATTTTTTGCCTCAATGATCTATCTAGGGTTGTTAGTAGGGTAACTAAATCCCCAGCTATGATAGTGTTAGAATGAATATCTTTTTTAGTTTACTTATTAACTGCTTTATAAAAACTGGTGCTCCTGTGTTGAGTGCATATATGTTTAGGATGGATAGTTCTTGTCGATAGATTGAACCTTTTAGCATTATGTAGTGTCCTTCTGTATCTTTTTAAATTTTTGATAGCTTAAAGACTGTTTTGTCTGATATTAAGATTATGACTCCTGCTTTCTTTTGTGTTCCATTCACCTGAAAATTTGTTTTCCATTCTCGAACTTTGGGTCTGAGTGTCTATTCTGCTGGGATGTGTCTCCTTGAGGCAGTATATTGTTAGGTCCTGTTTTTTCTTTTTAATCCAATTTACCATATGCGTATTTTCAATTGCATTTAATCTATTCATGTTCAGGCTGACTATTGAGACGTGAGAGTTTATTCCTGTCATGAGGCTCTTAAGAGTTTTTCTTTTCTTTCTTTCTTTCTTTTTTTTTTTTTTGCAGTTTGTTGGTTGGTTGGTTTTCTTTTGATTTTTGGGTTGATGCATGCATGAGTTAGCAGTTTTGTAGTCACAATGTATGCTGTGTTGGTTCTATTTTCCTGCACTCTTGGGAAGAATGTGGTCATTCTTTTTTCTCTTTGTTCTATGCCTAATACCTTTTTTTTTTTTTTGAGTTGGAGTCTCACTCCGTCGCCCAGACTGGAGTGCAGTGGCTGCTCCCGGCCACCGCAGCCGCGACCCGCTGGGTTCCGGCGATCCTTCTGCCTCAGCCTTCCAAGTAGCCGGAATTACAGGCATGCACTACCATGCCCGGCTGATTTTTTGATTTATTGTAGAGATGAGGTCTCACTGCCCAGGAGGGTCTCGAACCCGCGGGCTCAGGCAATCCACTCACCTCAGCCTCCCAAAGGCGCGGGATTACAGGCTGAGCCACCGAGCCTGGTTTGCCTAATACCTTCTTAAGCATCTCTTGTAGAGCTGATCTGGAGGCAGCATAAACTCTTAGGGATTGAATGTCTGGGAAGGATTTTAATTCTCCATCACTGATGACGTTTTGCTTTGTAGGACATTTTTTATTTTATTTTAAAGATGTGGGGTGCAATTCAGTGTTAGGTGTACAAATGTTCATTATGCAGGTTGGAATTGTTTATCTTTGAGAACTTTGAGATTGGACTACAGTCTCTTCTAGCCTGTGGTGTTTCCATAGCTAATTTTGCTGCTATTCTAATTGGTCTTCCCCAGTTGGTAGTCTGACCTTTCTCCCTTGCTACCTTTCAGATTTTTTCTTTTATACCTACATTATGTAAGCAAATTACTATGTGTCTAGGAGTTCATCTTCTCATTTGATGTCTTGCAGGGGTTCTCTGATTCTCTTATATTTGGATGATCATGTCTCTGATGAGATGTGGCAAGTTTTCTTGAGTGATCTTGTGGAATGTTTGTTCTAGGCTGCTCTCATTCTCCTTTTCTGCTTCAGGGATTCTGATCAAGTATAAGTTCAGTCTCTTAATATAATCACACATCTCTTGAAGACTTCGTTCCATCTTTTTAAGCTTCCTTTCCATGTTTTTAACAGATTGGGTTAATTCCATATTTTGGTCTGCAAGCTCTAAGATTCTTTCTTCTACCTGGTTATTTCTGCTTTCCATACTTGTCAGTTTATTACTTATTTCATTTACCGTATCTTTACTGCTAGCACCTTTGTAATTAATTATTTCATGTTTTCATGTTGCCTTTCTTGGTTCTTACTCATATTTTCCAATCATTCTTTGATATCTACATTTGTATTCTGAGACCAGTTGATCTGGGAGCTATTCATTGTTTGATTTCTGAAGTCTGTATTCTTGTGCACTATCCTTTTTGCACTTTGAGGGGTACCTATGTGTTTTTTTTGTTGTTAATTTCTCTTCTTTGTAATTGATATTTTCTTTTCTTTTTGCTCCTGTTGCTCAGTGAGTGAGGGAGTCATTTTCACTTCTTTTTGCTCAACCCCTTATTCCTCCTTTGGAAAAACCTCTGGATTTGTTCGATTTTGAAGCCAGGTTGGAGATGGAGAGCTGTGCTGTCCTTTGACAGTTTCTAGATTTGGATAAGGTGTGTTGAGGGTGCTAAGATTTAAAAGGTGCCTGCAGATCACAGTGTTCACTGATTGGGGGTGGGCCCTCAGGGACTCATTTCCTACCACCTCTCAGTATGTCCATGCAACTGGGAACATATGTATCTCCTCTGGGTTCAGAATAACATCAGGGAAAGGAAAGGAACTAAGAAAGAAAGAAGGAAGAAGAAAGGACAATGAAGAGAATGAAGAAGAGAAGGAAAAACAAATGAACCAACAAACAGACAAACCAATAAAAAAGAGAAATGCACAAAAAAACCTAAAACCAACAACGTGAGAAAATATTTACTCATGTATAGCCTTATGTAAAAATAGAAGAAAAAGGAGTAAAACAAAGTAAAATGCACACAACCCCTGCAAAGTATATAGAAAGAGCAGAGAAAACAAACAAAAAAAAAACTTTTGTAATACTTGAGCACCCCCTTGTGGCAGCTTCTGAAATTTGAGGGTCCTTGTAGATGTAAACCAAACATCGCTACTCTTGGCTTGCAGCAGAGGATGAAGGTTCTGACTTCTAGACTCCCTGCTCACTGTGCAGTTGAAGGGAGGCTATGAACTGCCCCAAGTGATCTGCCTGTGTTCAGCCATCTCTGTGTGTCCTCGCCTGGGTCACACACCTCACAAATCGCTGGGAAAAGAGAGCTGGATCACTTTAAAACTCACTGCCACCTCTCTACTGAGGGCTCGGTTCTTTGTCTCTGGTTGCAACCACAGACTCACAAATGTTTCAGTTAGAGGGATGGGGCATCTGAGTCTCCTGGGGGTCCTATCCCTCTGGGGATACTGCACTCAGGGTATCTTCTTTGGATTGGCAATGATCAATGTCAGAGAGATGCTGAATTCACTCCTCAGTTTCAGGGAGTAATTCTGCTATTTATTTGAGGAAACCAGAGCCTGTCTGCCCAGGTAGAAGATAAATGTGGTATGAACTTCTCTGCATCTTGTCCACCAGTGGGGCTTGGCAACTAGTTCGTCTGTAGTATTTTCTCCTTGGTCCCCACTGCCAATGTCCAATCTTGTGCCGAAGGCTGTCATGGCAGGCGGAGCCACCAGCAGGTGTTTTTTGATACTTTCTTCTGGGTTAGTCACAGAGATGGTGCCTGCCTCTGGGCTGTGGAGCATGTTGGGACCTAGATGTGTGGGGCAACCACCTCAGCGGAAGAACTTAGATCACTTGTTCCCATATACCCACTCAGTCAGACACTTACACACCCACTTGCCAACACCCTTGCATGCATATTCATCCCTGCGCCCACTCATTTATGCAGAGACTCACATACTCTGACCAACTCTGTCACCATCTTGAAATCATCCCTTAGTTTTTCTTTTTAATATATATGACTTCATTTTATAAGTTTTCACATATCTGCTTCCCATGGCAGATTGTGGGTTCCTTGAAGGTACAACTGTGCCTTATGAGTATTTGTGCAAATGAGCCTAGTCCTGTGGTAACATTGTAGCACATGCTCAAGAAATAGTTCCTGCATTGAATTCAACTTGAGTAACCACTATGCTTTATCCCGTAGCGTCTATTTTGTTATATTTTTTGTTCCAATGAAACAAGACAAGAAATACCAAATACTGACACGTCTTTGGAAATGGAAATATTAAAGCAGAAATATAGGTATGTATTTTTTCTTCTATCAGTATTTGAGAAATTTAAAATTCTTAAATGATAATTCGTGGTATTCAGTTACACTGTATATTAGTGCTTATTTTCTTTATATGTTATGCTTTATTGATGGATGTAGCTAGTGTATTAAGACATTTCTTAGACCCAACAAACTATTTGCTACTATTCACCAGTTGGTTTGCCTTCAAATAGTAAATGAATACAAAGTAAAATGCAAATTTCCTTTTCCTTGGGTGCAGTATGGTAAACTGCATTCTGCATGAGCCATCTGAATGCATACAACAAAACCCTGAAAGATTTTAAGGATCCCTGGAGTAACAGTGTGATGGACATTGGTGAAGCATGAGGGCTTTAGGGTTAGTTTACCTGAGTTCAAACACGTATAAAATTAGGTACTCACTAATTCTGTGACTGTGAACAAGCTGCTTAACCATTCTGTGCAATACTTTCTTATCTGTATACAGGGAACAAAAATAAACTCTCCATAAACAGTGTAAATTTGGGGAAATCACTTAAACTTCAAAAATACGTATTCCCTGGAAGGATTATGACTACCATGCATCTATAATCTGAGCACAATTAATCTGATATAGAATACTTCCAGCACTTATGTCTTCCTACACTCAGAATGACTAAGACAAGAATTGAAAATAAATTCACAAAATATGTATGTTCTTTTAGGCTGAAGGATCTCACTTTTCTCCTGGAAAAACAGCATGAGCTTGTTAAACTCATCATTCAGAAGATGGAGATCATCTCTGAGGCAGAGGATGAAGATACCCATAGTTCTTTTCAAGACCAGTTTAAGAAAGAGCAGCTGGAACAAAGGAATAGCAAATGGAATTCTGTTTTGAGAGCTGTCAAGGCAAAAACATATCGCTCTGAGGGTTAGTTAGCCAGACATTCAATGGGGTTTCCAGCAAAGGGGTTGCATGAATTGCCATGTCCAATTTCCAATTTGAAAAGAGTGAGGAAGAAGCAGAAATCTGATTTATTTCACTACAATACCATACAATACAAATCATTATTCCTGCATTTTATATAAATGTAAAATTTCTCTATAATCATATTTTCTGCCAACCGCTATATACTGGAAATATTTTGCAGATATGTTTAAGTTAAACTTGACTTTAATGAGAGGTAATCTCATTATTTGAAAAGGTAGAAAACTTATTTGCCAGAATACACATTTTAAATTATAAGGAGTAGTAAATGTAGCTATTAAGCTAGAATGCAAATGTCAGTACTGAATCCCTGCTTGATAATTGTGTAATATGTGATGCCTTTGAAAACAGTCTCAAAAATTAGTAATGCCTTAGATGATAGTCTCAAGCGTCAGACTGAGTTCTACCAGTTGAAAAGCTTATTTGTGATAGAAGAACTTGAGGAAGACACCCTGTGTTCCTACAACAATGATGAGCCCCACCTTTCTTGCTGCTCCCAACACACCTGATGTCACTTTCAGCCATATAGTTGAAGTCCAAATTAATAGACTTCATGATGTGCATGAATTTTACTATAGATGATATATGTATTATTTCTGTATTTTTTGTCAATGGCCATAATAAATGTAAAACCTATGTAGTATTCCCAGTCATCATTGTGTGAGCCTTTTATTGCATTTAGTTTTTCTGAGATTTGTAAAAATGATTCCATCACATATTACCTTTCTTCTTTTGATGTCTAATATAAAGAACAAAATAATCACACTTCATTGTTGATCCCTTCACAGTCCTCCTCTTGTGTTATTTGATTTTCCCCCTTTATTCTGATTCCCATGTTTATTTCCTCACAACCCCTAGGAGACACTCATTCTAATGAATATGGTGTTAGCTGTGAGCAATAACCAAGGATCTCCTGATTATAAAAACAAATGGTCTTTTCAGTATTTACCTCTTCAAACTTGTGTAGCATTGCACAGTATAATATTCCATCAGTATTTACTGATTCCCAAGAATGTGTGAAACACTGTACTGCACCTGCTGTGAGGAATATTGAAACAAACAGGTTGTCTTACAACAACCTCAACAACCTAGAAGATCTCAGGACCTTACAATATGATGAGTTGTCATTTACTTTTTGCTGTTCTCTCCTCCTTTTACACTCAAAAACTGCATTCTCCTGCTTTCCTACTGTTGTTTGTGTTTTGCTTGCTTATCTGTTTGTTTGTTTTGAGACTGCTGCTTCTCTCTACCCTGACTGGCTTCTCTAGCCACCAGCTGGCTTCAAGTGTACATCCCTGAAATCTATACTTGGCTATCTCCCCTCACATTCTCCTTCTTTTTACAATTATACCATCTTCAAACCTCACTTATGTATGTATCTGACATACGTATATGTCTTCTGCCCCTTCTCCCTAAGTCTAGTCCAGCATTTCCATAGTACTTCAAATTAAACACATATAAATCTGAATTTAGAAGGGAGAGTAAACCAACTCTTCCTGACTTCCTATTTTCAATCAGTGGTACAAGAATTCTCTCAGGTTTCTTTCTAAACTTGAAACTGACATACTAGGTTGAGTTACTCTTCCTAAATGAGCTCTGAGCCTTCATACCCTGCTAAATGCTTTAGAGATTTTATTTTCCTTCATAAGTAACCTAGTCTTTCTAATCTGACTCTTCAATCTAAATTAGCTTTATCTTCCAGTATTCTGCACTTTATCCAAATCAGAAGACTGCTTTTTTCTTCAAAACACATAATGATTTCCCATCACCTTATCTCCAGCTATATTCTCTTCCACCCAGAATATCCTCCTTCTTACTTTTTTAAAACTCAGTTTAAATAGCACCTCTTCTTTGAAAACTTCCATTAATGATCCCAACTGATTACACTCCTGCCTCCTTTGAACTGGCATGTATTGCCTTTCTCCTCTGGTATAGCTGTCTACTAGGGTGACTTTGACTTGTCACACCCTTCCCCAACACAATCACTATTAGTCTCAAGCTATGCAAACAATTACATCCTGTGTTATTTATTTTTATCTTGCCTAGTTCCTGGCACAGTGCCTCACATATAGTAGATGCTTAACAAATCCATATGCATAAATAATAAAAATTAGTGAAAATAGAGACTAAGAAAATTGCCTCAGTCTGCCTCCAAATAGTATAGTGTCCTTATTCTACTGATCCTGTGTCCTAGAGAAGCTGAATGATTTGTCTCTAAGTGGTGGAAGAGTCACTAAAATACCACTTTTCTGCCTTTTTATAATCTTTACTTCAATCTGGGTTGTTTTTAAGATTTTTAGCTGTAGTTAGCATGGGCAATAGTAAAGGTTTGTGCTTTGAAGGAAGACAACGTGTGCCTTCATGCTGACTAATTCCTGTTAGTTGAGTGATCCTGAATATGTTTCTATATCTTTAAAATGGTAATAATAGAGTAAACGCCTTATGGTATTGGTAGGATAGCAAAAAGATGACTCAGTAAGTGCTATTGCGATGCATTTAAGGAAACATTTACCTGAGATGAAGAAGGCTTTAAAACACTGGAATTTTCTTTTCATACCAGTTACTCAAGAAATTCCTTGTAGGTAAATTAATTAGCAGCCTGATACAAGCAGAAGTTTCCAGTACTTTTGCATCCCATTTGCTAAGCACATTCTAGAAGTGTATACTAAAGAAAAACCTCATGTTTAGAGAACACTTTCATTAAAATAAATATTTCAGCATTTTTTAATCTTTATTTTTGCCTTAGACTCAAATCACGAAACATAGATGGTGCACCAGGTCTCTGCTAGTCAGAGTAAATCATCATCACTGAGTATTTTTTAACCATTTTAGACATTTTGATGTGAGCTAATTAAGTACTGGCCGCAAGAGAAAGGCTTGTTTTATGAAAGAAATTATGACACTTTCAGGTTGAGTAGCTTGTTCATGGTCACATTACTGAGATGTGAATTTAGACTGTTTCTGGATCTTGTTCTCACCACAAAGCAACACTATCTCAAATTTTAAAAAAAGCAATCTTTCTTCAGTGAATTTATATTTACTAAAATATTGAGTGGATAATTTCAATGTAGCATTCAAAAGTTAGGAGACACTATAGATACAATTAAAGCAAATTTGCAGGCCCTGAAGTCAGGCTGCCTAAGTGATAGAAAGTCTAACTACTTTCTAGCTGTGTGACTTTAAACAAGATACTTAAACTCTAAATGAGGATAAGAAGAGTTATTTAAAACTAAATGAATTGATTAGAAATGAAATGAATTAATTGAAAACTAAATGAATTAATGCAGCTACAATTCTTGGCACATAGCCAGCACACAATAAATACTAGCCAATATAGAAGAGTAGATTATTTGCAAAGATATGAAAGAATAGTAATTTATTTAAAGTGCGCTTTTTCCCTTTTTCCAGATTGAGAAAAGTAAACTTGGCCATTATACCATATTTCTGAATTTTTTTCCCAGTTTGACTCCAAAACTTCTCAAATACAATTTAATTCATGTGCTTGGTATGACCTATGTTACCAGACCATGAGTGACATTTTGTATGTTGCAAAAACTAAAACAGGCAAGTTGCTTCTTTAATATGATTAAAGTAAACACTACATACCTAGATAGTCTTTTTACTAGTCAGATATCTAATTTCAAGTGATGGTGATTTAGAAGAAGACGATGAAAATAAAACATAATTTGATAATATTATAATGCGATTTTTAAAAATTAGCAAACTATGGCCCCTAGTCCCTTTTGCTATATTTGTAAATAAAGCTTGATTGAAACCAGGAACAGTATCAAAGCAAGGCAAGAGCGACCAGGTTCTACAAGTGCAGGACTGGATCCTGTTTTTCATTTAAAATGTTGATATTTTGTTTGTCACAGATATCTTTTGCTGTCATTTTAATTTGTAAAAATATTGCATTAAAATAATCTTGATTCTGAAAAAAACATAATTTGAGAACTAGATAGAAATATTAATACTTAGAAGTACATCCTGGATTCCTTTATATTTGTTAAATGTGTTTAAGCCAAGCATTTACTTTAAATGCTGATTTTTAAGGGCGATGAGATTTAAAAGGGAGGTTGAAAAAGTAATTGAATCTTTCCAAAACAATCATTGGAAGTGATTTCTTTCCTTATCAAAGATCATCTAAGAAATATTTAAATTTAAAAAGCACTCAGTCAAAAACTTCAGTTCATGCTGGCACAATGTCTGGGAACTGGGACCGGTAACAGGAACCCAGGAGGCTCAGGTGCCCTGCCTGCCATCAAACTCTGCTTGGAGACTCAGAGTGCTATGAAGTGGAAATTATAAGAATTGGGAGCTGAAAAACACCCTAATGACATTATGAAAAAAGTGTTTAACAAGCAACAGCAGAGTCAAATGACAAGAGGACTTGTTTGAAATGCTTGGGATCATTCCAGTTCGGTTCACTGTGTGACTTCATGATGGGTTGCACTTCTCAGTTACAACTGTACCTTCTAGTCCTAAATCTAACATCTTTGATAATAACATGCCTGCCTTCAAGAACGGTTTCAGAGGAAGCCTGAGAGAAGACAGGAATATGTGGGCTACCTCTTGCCATTTCCAGCTGTAGACTCCCCACACAAGGATTCCAGTATTTCCACAGGTTCCTGGGAGGCAAAAAGAGACATGATCCTGAGCTGTAACCCAGGGTTACCCCCAAACCTCTCAAGGGAACCAGCGCCCTCTAGGGATGTGATTGACACTGATTTGGAACCAGACAACCTCATTGAGACTTCCATTTGAGGCAGGAGGATCCCACATCTCAGGAAAACCTACTATGACAGTTATCTGTGGTTCTTCTTGTCCTTCTATTGAGATTTATCAAACACTGCAAGCCCAAAGACAGATGGTAGTAATAATGTAAAGATGTTTTCATTTCAACTGCAGCAGAGTAAGATTTTAAAGGCTGCCAATAAGTAGATACACAAATCAGATAAATAAAATGGTATATAAATAAAATGAACTTTATCTGAGGTTTTACCTTCCAAGACTTCATTTACCCATAGCCAACCACAGTTAGAAAATAGGTGAGTGTATTACTATAGAATTATGTGTGCACGCGTGCGAAAGAGCATATTCACATAACTTTGATTACATTATATAACTATAACTGCTCTGTTATTGTTGTTAAGAAAAATAGTATATATAGGGTTTGTTAGTATCTGTGGTTTCAGACATCCACTGGGGACCTTAGAACATAACCCCCAAAGATAAGAGGGGAGAGGACTATTCTACTTTTATGTGAATCAGGAGTACTTGGCAGTTTACATGACTCATAATCCTTTCTTTAGGACCAAATCTGGGAGAAAAGGGTATTGAGGAAGAAAAATATCAGAAGAAAAAGTTACCAAAGGTCATTTAAATTGTTCTTAAAAATTAATGTGGAGGAAGAGAAAAAGGATAGTGATTATGGCTAATGGACAAAAACAGTTTCAGCAGTTTGTCAGCACCAGCAAAACCTGAAAGAAAAGCTTCATTTACACCTTCAAAATTTGCAACGCTCTAATTTTGAAGCAATACCAAAGTTCAAGAACCTGTCAGGATAACAACCAATGCATCTATAGACCCAAAGAAACGGCGGCTCCCAAATTTGTTTTTCAACAAGAATTGCTGCAGGCAGAGTCCCAGGGCAAGGCAGGAACTTTATTTCAAGTCCTCCCCGCCAAGGACTTTCTCAAAAGAGGAAAACATGAGGTGGGGGAAAATCCAATTGTTCTGTCTGCAAGTCAACTAAGTAATGGTACAACCCCTACAAATCAATCAAAATTCATAGAACTTGCAGATACTGATCACTGATTCTAAAGGAGCCCAAGTTGTATAAAGAAATGGAAATGGAAATAAGCCAGGAGCTGGGGTTCAAGACTGCAGATATCTGCACTTTCAGCATGCCATACACAGATACAAAATCTGTCCTCACTTTTTTGTACCATTTTAAAGTTAGTGTCTTTTAGATATGCATAATTGTTTACAGTAAAATTTACAATATATGTTCAATACATATCTTCTTTTCCATTAATCAGCTCATTAGAAATATTTTAAACCCAGCTATATTGTGAAGATATAAGTTCCAGAAAAGAAAGGCAGTATGGGAAAAATGATCTAAAGCTATTTAAAGCAGTTATAAGATGATCTCTCTCATGCTCTTTCTCATACTCTCATCTCTATATGATCCATATAGAGATTAATCTTTAAAAGGTTAGGGAATCAATTGATTTTTACAAATACTGGGGGGAAAAGATGACTCTTTTTTTCTTTCCCAAATATCTTGGACAAATCACATGTTTAAAACTTGTTCTTGTATTTATTGGTTTTACAATATAAAAGCATCGTCATATCAGTATTTGTAATTAAAAGCAAATCATGTGTTGAATCATTGCAGATAAACTTTCAAATACCAAGTTTTCTGTGATGCTGGATGGTATCCCCAGCCACTGAGATAACGATTAGGTCCTGTGAATAAATGAAACCAGTAGCCAAACTGCAGTCTTCAACAAGGGTCTCAGTCTCTTCCACTCCAGCAATGCAGTTGATTGACAGGCAACTTGATGACCCAGATGATGCCTTTCAAAAGCTGAGTGTGGTATGGAAACCAGAAAACTCTTGGAGAGCTGTGATACTGAACTATAAAAATCTGTGTGCTTACCACCATCCCGTATTACTTTGAAAACTTTTCCAATTATAAATATGCTAAAAATTTTTATTTATTCATCCAAATAAGATGAGAAGTACCTGAAAGCAAATTGCCTCTACACTTACAATAGCAGAACCCAGTTCTGTCCCTAAAACCAGCAACCTAGCCTCATAGTCTAGTGGTCAGCTCTGCCATTTCTTCACTGGTAAGAGAATGGAACGGACTTTCACTCCTCCAAATCATTGTAGACTTAGCATTCAGTATGTTTTACCATTCTATAATTGCTATGCTGCTGCATCATGCCTTGAAATGAATTTGACACAATCAGTAAAGGATTCTGTCAGTAAATGACCTGCCAGGCAATCAAAGATTTCAAAGTTTCCATCAACGAATGGATGACAGTCACAGAACTTTATCAAACCTGTGAAATTTGAAACATATTAATTTCAGAATAGGAAACATATTGCTTGTGTAGCATGCTTAAATTTTCAAAATAAAAGAGGTCTCAATATATTTTTTAACTGTAAAGGAAAACCAGTGGAAAAAAAGCTAAATTTTGTTAAGCATGTTTGATATTGCTTTAAGTCTTAACATTTATAATGAGAATCATCAAAATGTGGCAATTTCTTTGTTATTAAGGATAATACCCTTGAAGACTTTACTGATGCTCTTTGCAAGTAGAAATTCAGCTAGGAGAGTGTCTCTATAAAGCTGGATTGCTGCTAAGAGTTTCCCCAAGAAAATTTGACTACCATAAACCAGATTGAAAACAGAATAATACAAAGCCAAAAGTGC